GACAGTGAAGTATGGTGTGTGTGTGTATATACATCTATCTCTCTATATTTTTCTTTCCAAATGACAAATACGGGGTGTGTATACAACTATGTCTTCACATATATTTAAAATCTTTTGTAGAAAGGGGTGTGTGCGGAAAGGTTAGTCTTGGATTGGGAGTAGACATTGTAATATGAAGAGCGATCAAAGCGAGCTTCTGAGAAGAGAGGAGATGAGACAAAATCAACAGCCAGAGTCACATGGCAAGAGTAGCAGCTGGATAGAAATATTCACTACGCTTCCGTCTCCGTAGGATTTTAGAAACTTTTGCACCACCGCTCTTAAGAGAATGGGAAAGCTTCCATTCCTCTCTCCTTTGAGCCCCAAAAAGCATGGAAAATGTTGTTTCTAAATCACTCTTGCCTTTTTTTTTTTTTTTTTGGTGGTCTTAATCAAAATTTAATCGTAAAATTAGCACTCAGAGTTCAGATAAGTAGCTAGTTAATGCCTTCAAAATATATCTAAAAATAAAATGACTGGGAATGAAAAGGGCTCGATCGCTACTTCCTCTAAACTGTTTTTGCAAGAAGATTGGAAAAGTAAAGTAAGAAATCTGAAAATGAAATGTCTCGTGCTTATTATTAAGAATGCTTAGAGTCCGTCTTTACTAGAGAACTGTCCCCAAATCCCAACTTTACAAATTAAAGGGAATTTGTTCATTTATTTAATTGTTCAACTAAGGGTATATCAGAACAGCGATGCTATCTGTTAGTATAGCCATTTACTTTGAAGGACCTAAAGAGCCAGGAGAATTATAGCCCAGCTTAGCCAGCCTTGTGCAAGGTTATATGAATATTCCAGTGTCAGCCTGGTTTGTGTCACACTTTTCACTCATCCCTTAATACCTTCCACTTGTGTCAAATTCTGCAAAAACTCATGTGTGCAATGTGGGTTTTTTTGGTTTTTTTTTTTTTGGAAAGGAGGTTGGGTACATTAATGTGAAATGAGTTCTTATTTGTGTGTTCTTCAACATGTGTTGAACGACATCTTAAATCTGTATCTGCTATACGCTTCTGAATGTCATGCTAGAGAGAGCAATAGGCCCTACAAAATCCTAGCGATACATTCCTGATTTTTAAAACATTAAATATTCCCCCTGAAAATAACTGGCGTTCACCTGTATGCAGTCCTTTCTTTTAGCGGATTTATTTGCTTATCTTTATTTTCCTTTTCACATTGCCTTTCACATATCCACCGTGACAGAAATGGGTTGGAATAATGTAAACACAGTGTTATATTACAAGAGCTTTTGTTGTATGGATTCATTCTTTTGTATGAATAAGAAGCTTTTTTTTTTTTGCCTCCACCCCCCCCCCGTTTTTTAAGGGAGGAGAGGTAATAATCCTTTTTACCACAAATTTGCGTAAATCTTATATACACACAGAATGAGTGGATATTTCGGAGTATGTTTGCGTGAATAATCTTCTCATGCAAAGTCTGTTTTTAAGCCTGCATTTTCATATGTAATGTATTAAAATGTTAATGGCAAACTGTCATAGCCTTCATAAAGCAAGATTTGAATTTAAATTCTTACCGGTTAAATTTCCCATTATCTCATTTGCAATGCAAGTAGTTAATTATACACCTGACACTTAGTTAACTTTGGAAAATAACATCTAATCCCTCAGATATGGGGCTTTATCCTCTGCAAGTGTGTGTATGTGTAACAGAATGAAAAACAAAGATATCAATCCTCTAAAAATCAGCGTGGTCCAACTAGGACTGCTGGAATGCTTTAGTCGTAGGACTGAAGTGCAATTCCAGTGTGGGCAAAGCTGAGAGTGGTAAACTGAGGGGTAAAATGTTTTTACATGTTCATGTTTCTTGTAGAGCTTTAATTTTTAAGCTCAGTTCTAATTACTTGGGTATATGACTATTTTGAGCTGATATATGGTAAAGTGGTTATGTGTGCGAAGTGTTGAGAAAAATAGATGGGCTTTTTCCTTATTACATCTAAATTTAAAATCTCTTGGAAATTTTTTTAGCTCTTTAGAGATGCTCTTAGTGTAAATAGCACAGAAATAGCTATTTCTCGGAGTTGTAAGTGCTGAAACGTGGGGTTAACATGAGGCTGTCACAAAATGCTTAAGTTTGTATTGGACAAAAAATGGAGATTTGGTTCAACTGACACCACTTATGAGTGAAGCTTGAACTTAGCAAAGCTTTGGGTGGAGTTGTGGAGCCATCTGGATCCTTCTGACACTGCTGAAAGGAGAAGTTGAAAGTCAGTTTTTGTAAGAGGTCGCTGGCAGCTTTTGGGCAGCACGAGGACAGAATCTGTCGGGCAGCCCATGGGACCTAGTAGACTAGAGAGACCTAGTTTCAGATTCCCAATCTGCCAGGCTTCAGGAGGGCTTAAACAAAGCCTTTGCTCCCTGAAGTGTGACTTTCATGGTACTCCAGGACGGGTCTATCTGTTCCTCCAGTTTGAGGTAAAATGTAAATGTTTTTTGGGCCAGAGGGAGTGAGCAAATGACTCTATAGTCTAGTAATTAGCACACTTGCCCATAAAAATTGGGACAGACAGGTTCCAGTCCTTGTTCTGGTGAATATTTAAGACCGCTGCTCTGAATCAGACAGAGGGGAAATTTAAACTCTGCTTCTCCACATCCCAGGGCAACACGTAGTAAACCAGAGGCTGCATAGGATTTATACGGTGAATAGCACCTGGATCCTCATGTGAATGTAAAGTGGTGGGTTTTTTTAATTGAAGCAGATGGATTTTATGCTTCTTTAAACTCTCCGTTCTTAATAAAAGCAAATCTGTGCTTAACAGGTTATTTTTCCAGCCCAAATTGCTGAACCAAGCAATAGTGCTGCTCCTGAGCTATCTAGCTGTGCATCCGCCGTCATCTTTGGTTGGGTGTGTTTGGTGCTTCTTACTAGCAAGCCCAGTCTGCTGTTTGCATTACACTCTTGAGCAGTGAAACTCCTCATTTCCCTTAAAATTGTTGCCACAACAGCTACAAAATAATTAAGCAGAAGGCTGCTATAGCACTAATTACTTTTTGTCAACACAGCCAAAGTATGCTCCAGTGCTTCCTATATTACTCCAGTGGCATGAGCTTAGCTTTCCTCTCGTGTTTTTAGGCAGGTGTTCTGTGTTTAGCGCACACAGGCAGCGGAAAAGAACTGGATGGGTTGCCATTGGCAAAAAACACATCTCTCGTCTGGTGCGGGATGATCCTAATTCATAGGGCAAGAAGCTATGCGAGGTTTTAATTTTTTAATGCTTCTGTACCATCTCTGACATGTCTTGGGCCAGTCCTCTAAGTTTCTTCTGGACAGAACTGACACTGTAGACAAGAATTGTGACTGAGGCAGTTGATAAGATGTTGGAGTTTTCCTCTAAGTAGAATTTGATAGATTTTCTTTCTTTCTTTTCAGGTTGTGCGGTCATCTGGCGCACTACAAAGAAGTGGACTTTCCCCAGAGTTACCATTTTGTGCTAAGGCTGTTCTCCTTTCTTCTGAGGATACAGCCCTCTTACATCCATGAAGAGGTGTGTGTGATAGAACACAAACTTTTTAATAAAAAACTCTCCAAAAAGCCTCCAAACACAGGCCTAAGGAAGTAAAGAGACTTAAACATAATAGTATTAAAGTTGTGTGAATTGGTTCGATCCCGAACCAGGGTATCACATCTACACTGCCAGTGTTCCTGTTTCCTGCACAGAAACCTTCTGTTAAGGTCGTAGCGCTGAGCTCTGCCACTGCACTGCAGCTGTAGTGTCACTTTGTCCGTAATTTAAGTCAGTCACTGGCTTCCAACTGGGAGAGTTACCAAGGAAACTGTTTACCAAGATTTATTTCCTCGCTTTGCAACAGAGCCAACAGGAAGCTATGAAATTGCCATTTTTTTCCACATAATTTTACATACTTCAAGCGTACTGGACAGCACGTTGGCACCTAATTGCATTGTGAGATTTTGCAATTAAAATGCTACCTTTTTTTTTTTTTTTTTTTTTTTTTACTGACTTGTATGACGGCAAATATATTTCTAGAAAGTAATGTTTACTTTGTTTTGAAATAGCGTGTTAACAAATAAAAGGAGCAGGTGGTTGATGTTTTCACTGCAGTGAGTTGTTTAGTCTTTGTTCCTACACGGTCTGTTCTGGAGCGGTTCTGGCACTGCTTTCAACATTTCTTTGCATCCTGAGTATCTCCCAGTCCCTCCTTGTGCCTGAGCCTCTCATTCAAGCCAGCGCCTTCTGGGGCCGTGTCCTACTCCAGGCTTCACAGCTTTTGCAGCTGCTTTTATGCCTGGAACTCCCCATCCTTTTTGTCGTACAGCAATAGCTGCCAGGTCCTCCCGTCATCCTTCTTTTGCAATGCTACTCTCTTTTGAGCTGCACTTCATTTCTTCTGATCGCTTCATAATGCAGCAGCTTGTGCCTCAGCCGTTCTACCCGATTCTCATGCTCAATCTTATTTATGCACTTTGTTTTCCAGCTATCCCAGACAATGTGTAAATGAAGTTGGGTGCTACGACTACATTAAAGACACCATAACATATACATATGTTGAGCAGAGATATGTTGAGCAGATACACAGCTGAATAATTCTGCCTCCGGTTGAATGAAATAAAATTCCCTAACTCCGTCTGTCAGCACAAAGTACAGGAGTTGCCAAATACACTTGATCAATCACAAAATCACCAGCTGTTCCTGGGCAGTACTGTGGACAAGACAAATGCTGTCTGCAGACTTTATTTATTTTTATTTTTTTAATTATTATTTTATTTTATTTTATTATTTTATTTATTTTATTTTATTTTATTTTATTAATAGAGCTTCCTTCCTGAGCAAGGCTTGGGCTTCAGTGAGATGTAATCCGAGAAGGTAATCAGCTCAGTGAGTAGCCTAAGTATGATGGAAGGGTTTCAGATTTGTTGCAGTTCAGTCTGTGAAACTGTCGTCTAAAAACTGGGAGCAGGTGAATGAATGAATGATAGGAGAGGAGACGTGCAGCCCTACCCACCTGAAGCAAAGCGATGAAGCAGTATTTCAAGCACAGGTAGAGCAGACAGGAATGTGTGGAAGGGAGGGCGGGCAGGCTATTAAAAGTAAGTTGTAAGAGTTATTTGGAAATGCTGGCAAGCCACGAGGGCTTCACTGGCTCAGTGGAGTAGAACATAGTGTCCTGATCGGAGGTGGCAGAAAAGATACTGTTTGGGTGGAAGTTTTTACTTTTTTAGACATTTTAAGCAGTTCTTGTAGAACAGGGATTTAGAGCAGTGGTCCCATAAAGTGACTGGGATGTGCAGATGAGAAACTATGCTTTTAGCAACACAAAGCTAAACAGTGTTTGGTGGGGGAAAGAGTACAGGCTGAGTTGTTACTTGTTGTCTGTGTTAAATGTTTCCTAAGTGATACAATTCAGTGTGTATTGCCACATTGTGCTAGCTACCTCAAGACTTGGGACATCCCTCGAACTGATAATTACATTATGGAGTCAGAATGTACCAATTTGAATCAGATCTTGTGTTTGTATTTTAAAATCAGCTGTTATTTATTATGCTTAACCTCACCTGAGCGAATTACTGAAGTTTGTAAATATTTAGGAAAATTATCCTTTGTTCTTGTTCTGTGCTTCCTCAAACTCCTGAAAATATCCCATTGGTTTTACTATGGTATTTGCTAAAGTTCTGAATTACCTATCTAAAAGACACTTTATAGACATAAAGGCTTACTTTAATTCAGAAGTCTTCATTTGAAAGACTTGTGCACTTAATTATAGGTACACCTTTCTTTTAAAACTACTGTAGTAGTAAAATCTCAGCTTCGTAAATTAAAAACACCGTACTCATTGTTCCATTGTTACAAATGTAACAAAGCTCCCTTAGATGTTAGAATAAATTAAAGTTGTACTTTAATAAACTGGAATAGAGCTCGCAATTAATCATCAGCAGCCCTGTGCCTTCTGGACACATGGGCGAAGAGGCAGATTTAAAAGAAAAGGGTGTGCCTCTGAAATACTTCGTGGTAGTTCAATCCAGCTTAATCAATCGGCACTTACGCTCCAGCGGTGATGTTTACGAAGCTGACGAGCCACCAGAGTGCCTTGTCTTCAGTGGATGTAGCCGAGCTCTCTGGGGACAATCGCTTGGGGTCTGGTTCACACGAGCCCGAGGTGGAGCTGGCAGGTGGCTGAGGGGCAGGGTGTCTGCCGCAGCCCAGCAGTTCCCAACACCTCCTCTATCTGATTCTACCTCGCAGCTCCTTTCGGTAACCATTTGCTGAAAATGGCCAAGGAAAGCTCAGCTTTCTGATATGGGCCTTGTTGTACTTCTTCTGGGGGAAATTCAAGCCTCCAAGCAAGGTTAAAACCAAGTGCTTTTTTTTTTTTTTTAGATTGAAATTTTAAAACATCTATTGAGAAGATTTTGAATAGTTGACTAATTACTAGCTTAGACAAAAGCGTATCAGTTATTTCAAGACCTTGATGTGCCTTCCAAAGTGAATTCAGTCATTTCCCAGTTTGTGTATTATACTTTAACATGCTGGTTTGTTTTGTTTTGTTTTTTCCATCAAGAGTACAAATGTAGTCTTACTTTGAATTTCCTTAAATAATGCAACCTTTCTAGTGATTCCTTGGAGAAATATGACAGACGTCTAGTTTTCTTTGAAAGTTAGTCTCCAACAGAATTGGTATTTCGCTGTCTTTTCACTGCCTCAGTGTGTTTGCATCCTCAGTGTCATCTTAGTCTGCCACATACCTGTTTTCTTTTCAATTTTTTTTTTTTTTTATCATTTTCCAGACGGGAAGGAGAGATGTCTGACTTTCTCTTGAACCTCTTATGCTGAGCAAGGGCCCTGAGCCTGATTTAGCAAGAGAAGTGAGAATCAGCAAGGTTACATGCCTGTAAGCAATCCGAGTTCAATATATTGTCAATAGTGTGTTGTATGGGTAATTAAATCTTTCCTAGCCTATTATTTGCACGTCCCCTGGAACAATAGTGTGAAGGAGATTTGGGCAGGCTTCGTGCAGCGTTGCAGGCAATGCAATGAAAACTCACTGCTCACAACGTCCTGGGAAGCTCCAAAGTCTCTTCGCCTGACTGCTTAATGCTGGATTTTCTCCCTCTGTGGATGACTAAGATTTGCTGATGGGCCTGGAAAGTCATCGTAGGGTGTTTATGGAAAGCTGTCAGGAGGATGTTTTTGCAGGGCCAGCTGGGAGCAAAAGGGCTGGGACCCACAGACCTGCCAGGAAAGTCTTAAAGATGTGAAGTCCCTGGGTAGCTGTCTGCACCGTGGCTAATCCATCCCTTGGCTGTGGCAGGCTGAGTAAGACTTACGCTGCTTTAGAGGTGTAGAAGAGTCAGGGTAGCTTTGTTCAAGGAGCCTCATATTTTGATCCAAGAGTGCGAAGGGAATGCCAAGCTGTGGGGACAGGCAGAGATGAAAGCTTCCCTCAGCGCTGCGTGCGCTGAGGGCTGGCAGAGCGCGGGATGACGAATGCTGGTGTCCTCACGTGAGGTTGTGGCTGCCCTGGTCCGACTGCTCGTGGCGGCGTTTGGAGAGCCAGAACGCTCCTCCCCGCTCGCCAGCATCCACAGCCTGCCTCTGGCAGCAAAGCAGGTGGTTCAAAAAGAAATTACAAGCCAACAACTCTGACAGCCTCACGTGGCTGCTCCGTCCTGGAGAAGCATTCTGGATCCCATCCCAGACCTCCGTGTTGTCCCAGCAGTGGCTTTGCTCATCCAAAACTATATCGCAGTGCCCCAGCAGCCGAGGGCAACCTGGATGCTCATCGGCGCAGTGAGGTGTGCTGCTTCGGCACAAGACCGTGACAAAACATGTTGTTGACTGAAGGGAGGCTCGTCCCCGAGCTCCGCGGTGTTTGCAGCTCCTGGCTGGGCAGCTGAGCGCTGTCTGTGGCTGTGGAGCAAGCGGATTAGGCAGAGGACAGCGTGCAGGCAAAGAGCTGCACGCGCTGTTCTCTTGCTACATCGCTCTCACCCCGTATGGCAGGGTGTTTGTACAAAGGAGTTAAACCCAAAGGAAGTGCTTTATAGGGATGGGGAACGTTCGGTGAGACTGGCCAGCCAAAGGTTTTATTGCCAGTATAAAATTTGAGCCTTCAGGTTGACTTCTTTTTATGTGTAGGCTACTGCAAATTTGGTTCATTTATGTGGTAGGCATGTCAGAGCGGAGCTGCATCTCCTGGCCCCGAACAGTCTGCTTGCTGTGAATGGTTTCTGTGTTATCTTTAAGGCTAAATGCAGAATTAAAGGGGAAATCTGATTTTTAAGGAACGCTGGCAAGATTGCACATAGGGATATGGCTGAAAAGCCAACTGTTTCGCTTTCACTTTCCTCGTCTGTATTTCACGCTTTGAGCTTTCATTTATTTCTTGACTCCTTTTTCCCCATCCTTTTCCACCTTCCTTTTCCACAGCCACTTGTCTGCCTCTTCCTTTCCTTTGCGCCTGCTTTACCTCTCTTCCTTGTGAGCTCATGAACTTTCTGCCTGGGCTTTTCTCTTCCTTTTCATCCCTTTGACTCCTTTGGGTTACTTGTACAGAGTCAGTGGTTAGCTGTGGGCTGACATTTCCAGCTGTATCATCGGTGACCGCATGGCCTAATGCAGAAAAGAAGAGCTTACCTGGTGGGCTGTGCAGTGAAGCACAGAAGATTCGGTGCATCTTGCCTTGACTGCCTGCCGTGTTTTGCGAAATCAGAAATACTGTTACAAATTTGATGCAACTTGTTTGTTACACAGGTGTGAATGGCCGGTGCACCAAGATGATAATTATCACATACGAGCTTATAGAGCCTTATTTATTGGGTAAGTCCTAACAGAGGGTGATCCTCGTCCAGAACAATTCCCAATTTCTCTCAAGAGCGGTGTCAAAAGGCAAAAGGGAAACGGGTGAGCACGCTGAGACGGCGCTCAGCCAGATGGTTGCAAATGGTGTGTGGGGTTCTTTAGGTGTTTCGGGTGGGAACTCACTTAACAGGAAATGAATGCATGAGGAAGGGAAGGAGAGCACTGAAGGCAGGACAGAGGAAGAGGAAAAGGAAAAGGGGAGGAGAGCAGTGACACGGAGGTGAAAGGCCTGAGGGAGGGAAGCAGTTGGAGCGGACGCCAGTCAGCACAGGGCAAGGGAAGTCCTGCCAGAGCGCTGCCACACCAGGCTGGGATGGATTCGTGCCCAAACCAAAGCCCTCCTCAATCCCTTTGTGCTTCTTGCCTGATTTTATCCAGCGCTGATGCAACCGGGTCAGTGACATCACAGAAATCCACCTCCCGCTGGTGTTTCAGAGTCTAGATTGTGACCGGCAGATTAGTCAGTGGTGTCACAATCCCGTGTTTGTATCATTGTCTCCTGAACGTGGAAGTGATTGCCATGTCGATAACTACGTTTTCATCCGTGAATCAGGCTGTTAAGAAAAGCAGGCTCTTTTGCAGAGGCACCAGCCCTGATTTATTCGGAATAAGGCCTCGGCCAACTTTAGTGCAGTAGAAACGCCAAGCAGGGCGCATTGCGAAGATTTCAGCAATCGGGGTGCAGTGTGAGCAGGCGGCTGAACTTCAAGGCACACTGCCCCTGGGTCACTGAGAGCCACGGGGTAGGGCCGAATTTTAGTGTTAATGAAAAGTGTGCACATGTGCCAAAAAAGCAGCGATCGCGCGTGCACATCCCCGAGCTCTAAGAACAGGGAGCATCACAGACAAATAACAGTTGAGAATGTCAGCAGCTCTTTCCAATGCTTCTAATTCTGAGCTGGTTGTGTAATTTGTGTTGGAAACAAAGCCAGTTTTACTCGTTTGGAAAAATGTAATTTTCTGACATCTTAATTGATGATAGCACTTTTTCAGAAGTGCAAGCCGGTAAGAAATCACATCTTCTGTGCAATCCAGAACGAGATTTTAAAATGGGTTAAAAATACGGGATAGCTTTTACTGCATGCCATGAAGAACAATTCAAGTCAGTTCATTTCACGTAGTAGAGCGAGATCCTGCCCAGATAGCAATATTTATCTTCTGCCATCCTAGTGGCAGTGTTTGCAGACCCAAACAAAGCATTTTGTTTCTAGAACGCCAGTTGTAATCCAGTCGGAGGATATTAGGCAACTTCCAGAATTAGACCCTTAGTGAAAGTTTGTTCCCTTTGGTTTCATATTTCCCTCGGTTGGCTGCTTGAATTGTCCTTCTGTAATCTTGCATTGGAGTATGTCCTGCACAAATAGGGAAGAGATTTTGACCTAGAAGAGAGACCTCTCATTAGTCCACACGCTTTTAAATTACAGCAGTTATCTGCAGCATCTGGGCATGTGATAGAGAGCGTGGCTGCTGCATGGGGTTTGATTCAGCTTGTTACTTCAACAGGCGGCCTCCCACCCTTGTATTTCTCAAGGAGGAACTCAAGATTTGCTGATTTTTGTTGGCGTGCCCCCACTGGATGTACCCATGTCCTCATACCCACTGGCACCCCAAGGCTTCAGCAGCATCTCCTCCGAGGGCTGCGGTGTCCTTGGGGTCCACCGGAGCAGGGCAGTGGCGAATTGTTCTGTCTTTAAGGACTTTTCCTGTAAAAAAAAAAAAAAAAAAAAAAAAAAAAAAAGATTTAGTGTGGAAAGTCGTGTGGAAAGTCGCGGGGGGGAGCGGGGCGAGAGGGAGGAGGGGAACCTGGCCCCAAGGTTTGGGGGCTGAGCCGCCGGGGAGCAGCACGGGGGAAAGGCGCTTTTTACCTCAGGAACAGCCTTCTTTAAATTTATTTACCTCAGGAACGGGCTTTTTATTTATTTATTTACCTCAGGATCGGCCCTTTAAATCTCAGGAGCAGCTTATTTACTTATTTATTTATCTATTTATTTATCTACTTATTTATTTATTTAATGTTCCTCTAGAATGAACTTTTTAACCTCAGGAACAGATTTTTATTTATTTATTTTCCTCAGGAACAGACTTTTTACCTGAGGAATGGCCTTTTTTTTTTTTTTTTTTTACCCCAGGAACGGCTTTTTATTTATTTATTTTCCTCGGAAACATTTTTTTTTTTTAACCTCAGGAACGGCCTTTTTTACCTCAAGAACGGCATGTTATTTATTTATTGTCCTCAGAAACTGACTTTTTAGGTCAAGAACGGCTTTTTATTTATTTATTTATTTTCCTCGGGAATGGACTTCTTACCTCAGGAACGGCCTTTTTTTTTTTTTTTTACCTCAGGAACGGCTCTTTATTTATTTATTTTCCTCAGGGACGAACCTTTTTACCTCGGGAATGGCTCTTTATTTATTTATTCTCCTCAGGAACGGACTTTTTACCCCAGGAACGTCCTTTTTTTAACCTCAAGAACGGCTTTTTATTTATTTATTTTCCTCAGGAACGTACTTTTTACTTCAGGAACGGCCTTTTTTTACCTCAGGAACGGCTTTTAATTTACTTATTTTCCTCGGGAACTGACTTTTTGCCTCAGGAACGTCCTTTTTTTAACTTCAAGAACGGCTTTTTATTATTTATTTTCCTCAGGAACTGACTTTTTACCTCAGGAACGTCCTTTTTTTACCTGAGGAACAGTTTTTATTTACTTGTTTTCCTCGGGAACTCACTTTTTACCTCAGGAACGGCTTTTTTACGTCAGGAACAGATTTTTTTTTTCTTTTTACCTCAGGAACTTTTTTTTCTTTTTTCCTTTTTTTTTTATTAAATCTCGGGAGCACCCCTGTCAGCGTGAGGACGCCCCCTCTCCTCACCTCCCCCCTCCCTCCCCTCAGCACCGAGCCCCTCTCACCCCCCTCACTGCCGCCGCCCGTCCCCTCCGCTCCCCTCAGCGCGGTCCCGCCCCCTCCCTCCCTTCCAGCCAATGAGGAGCCGCCGTCTCCTCCCCGCCGCCCTCGCTGGCCAATGGGAGGCTCCGATCGGCGCCCGTCCACCTGCGGCCGGCGGCGCCACCTGAGCGGGCGAGAAAAGCCGCCAGAACCCGTCGGTGCGGCGGGCTGCGCGCTGCTCCCTCCGCTCGCCCCCGCTCCCTCCCGACCCGCTGGGCCAGTTCTGCCGCCTCCTCCTCTAGACATGACCCAGGACTACGACAAGTGAGTGCTGCGAGTCCCCGTGGGGCGGGGAAAAAAAGAAAAAAAAAAAAAAAAAAAAAGGGGGTGGGGGTGGGGGGGAGAAGCCCCTCAGGGGGTGCCCCCCCCCCCCCCCCCTCCATCTTAGGGCCGCGACCTGAGGCGGGGCGGCGCGAAATGGCGGCGGGGAGCCCCCGGCCGCCTCAGGGGGCTGAAGGGGGGGTGTGTGGGGGGGGACGGGGCAGCCCCGCGGCCGTCCCGCCCCCTTCCTCCTCCTTAAAGGCCGCCTGTGGGGTGTGCGCCCCCTCCACACGCGTCCCCAATGCCCGGCTGGGGGCTGTGAGCCGGCCCCATGGACTTCTACGAGGCGCACCCCGCCGGGAAGGTGGATTTCGGCAGGTAACGGGGCGGCCCCGCTTCGTCCCGTGGGTTCCTGTGGGGTCGGGGGGGATTTGGGGCTGTGAGAGGTCCCCTCCGCTGCCAGGCTTTGGGCTTCGCCTCAGCGGGTGCTGCTCCTCGCTGTGGCCGGGATGGGGAAACGGCGGAGAAGCCGGCGGCTGGAGGGTTCGTGGTGGCCAGCCCTGCTCCTGCTGCCCCCCTTCCTCCCTTCCTTCTGTCCCCCTCTGGCTCCTGGCATCGCAAGGATGGGTGAGAGGCACCGCACTCCGCTGCTTTCACCTCCCTTTTTCTCCCAAATGACCTGACTCGAGGAGTTACCCGCTTGTTGTGGATATTCCCGGTTCCTTTCATCGCGTTGTGTAAGAACAGGAGGATCCTTATTCACCCCTTGAGAGAATCCAGCTTTATCTCTCGCTGTGCGCTCCTTGCTGGGAGGTGGATGTCCCCCATACAACCTGTAATTCAGCACACGTGTGGCACTCCACACACAAATCCCCACAAAGACCCATAAAAGGGTTTGGTGGAGAGCTCGTCTCTTTCGTTATTTGCTTTTTTTTTTTTTTTTTTTCCCAACTGCACAACGCTGTTTTATAGGTACAAAGTGCTCTTCTATATCCTGGGAACTCCCACTCGCTTAAGCCCCGCCGAGCTGTCCCCCTGGAGCTGCGGGGCTGCTTGTGTAAGCGATAAAGGACCGAGCGCATCGTTTGCAGGGTGCTCGGCAATCTTTGGGGGAGAAGGTGGTGATAAATGCAGGAGCGCTAAGCTGATTACAGTGATTAGAGCGTTTCACAACTTGGCGTTTCACAACTTTTTGTGTTCGTAGTGTATTTCAATCTCTGAATGCATCTGGGTGAATAACAGATGAAAAGAATCCTTATCTTCCGGGGAAGGGGTATGAAGGTGGTGAGGATGTGTTTTGGTGGGTTTTTGTTTGCTTTTTTTTCTTTTTTTTTAACAACCTATTATCGATCTATTAAGGATTGGGGCTTGGATTATTTGAGGAAATCCAAATATCCCCTGTTCCACCCAGTCTAGCAAACTAATGTTGCGCTTGCACTGGAAGGAAAACTATTTCAGCTCGTCTAAAAAGTCAGATTTAAAAAATGTTTTCTTGAGCTGACTTTAAAGATGAAGCACGTGTCTTACAAACAGGACATGAATTTGTCAAGGTGTCTAAGCTGGTAGGGCTCTGTGGTTGTCCTGCTTTCAGTTATGGGCTGAAAGTCCACGTTTTGTCCCTTTCTCCTTCGCAGCAGTAGCAGAATGCTCAGAGCAGACGCAGTTTCTCAATGCACTACATCATCAAGGAAATAACCAAGGTTTTGTCTCTCTCCCAGTTCTAACTTGTCATTGACTCAAGCTGGGCTCACATCTCCTCAGCAGTCACCAGACAGCAAATCTTTTGGTGTTTTAATGTGGGCTCGGAGAGCACGGGCACCTTCTGAGGGCTCTGGGAGAAAGATGTTTTGTCGGTTCACACTTTCTAGTTCCACATGGAAACTTGAGCAGGTTGCGGCTCGCTACCATTACGCAGGATGTGCTGGAGGTTTTGTAGGTGGTAGGCCAGCAAGCACGTATAACTTCTGGGCTGGATTCAGAGCCTTAGCAGGTCTGGGGTGCTCTTCAACGGCCCTGTGATTGTATATGGGCTGGTGTAATCCCGCTGAGTTTGCTGACGTTAATCCCGATTTACACTGAGCACGGGTGAGATCAGAATTAGGTTTCTGGGCTTTTTGTGTTGACTAATCCTTGCAGCGCACTGAATCAGAACTTGAACCCTGTGAAACTGGGGCAGCTAACTTGAAAGAACTTCAGGAATGTTTTTCACGACTTCTAACAGGTGCTTTTTTCCTTTTTCTTTTTTTTTTTTATGCTTCAAGTAAAAGACCCGTGCTGGTTCTTCAGAATGACTCTCTCTACTCCCAGAGACGTCCGTACACCAGCGAAGATGAAGCCTGGAAATCCTTTCTTGAAAATCCCCTTACGGCAGCTACCAAAGCTATGATGAGCATCAACGGCGACGAGGACAGCGCGGCTGCCCTCGGACTGCTGTACGATTACTACAAGGTAGATTGGCGTGGGCGTGCTTCTGGCAGCCCCTGGAGCTTTTATTCCACCGGTAGAAAAAGCATCGGTTACTTGATGACAAAGAGTCGTGGCATGGATTTTGCTGAAGCCATGAATTTATCGCGAGGACTTTAAAATATAGGGCTTTAAAAAAAAAATCCACAAATTTCTCCTGAAAGATGGTTAATTTTTAGCTCAGTAAAATAAGACCTGGATCTTGCTGTGATGGTTAAAAAAATCCAGTAGCACTTTACTCTGCCTCTGCAGAACCCAGAGTCGTTAAATAGTCTCGATGAATGAAACTTTGGAGCGTGTCCATGTCTGAATGCAGATCTGCATTTCCTTTTGCTCGTGTGATCCCCGTTCTGGTGGGGCCGCTGGTTTTTGTGCTGCCGTGAAGCTACAAAGGCAGAATTTTTGCTTGTGGGTGGGGGATTGTCAGCCAGGAGGAGTTGGTGCCTGCTTCCCTCTAACCTTCAGCGAGCTGTTAACGTGTTCATCCCTTGGCAGCTCTGCTTGTCTCCCCTTAGCATTCGAGGTCTTCTCAGAGACATTTACCTTCCTAAATGCCGCCGGGCTGAGCTGAACCCAAGCAGATAGCATTCTGAGCTGCACGGAGTACATTTCATTGAGTTTTCTTCTCTAAATACTGGGAAGCCCAAGCCAGGCTGGCTTCCTTCACCCCAGTGTTCGAGTCAGGTGGAGGCCTGCAGACACTTGTCAGGCAGGGAGGTGTTGTGCTTCTGTTGGAGTGGCTGGAGCTGCCTGGTTTTTCTTGCTGAGCAGGCAGAGAGCTTGGCTCTGGGGCTTGGCATTTTGGCTAGTGCCTTTCAACAGCAGTGAGTGCAGTTGCTAGCCTCAGTATGCTCCTCAAACCCTAGCAGAGGTGGCATTGGGCATACAAAATCTTTGCCTTTTTTTTTTGATTTGAACACATCTTATGTATCAAAATATTCTTGTAATGCTTTCTGTGGAGCTTAGCGCTCCACGCATGCAACAAAATGCCACAAATTCACTGGTGGGAGTGTTATTTGGCTAGTTTTTTGAAAGTATTGCCTTTTGTGCCTGCACTTGCTGCCCTTTTGGGTAGCAATAAATCACGTTCACCAGAACAATTTTAACCCACAGAATCAGTTTTGATTTCTAAACGTGTGGATTACAAAGAGAACGGCGATGTCGATCCTTCATGCTCGGCAAAGCAGAAGGGATTTGCTGTACGTTACCGTCTAATTCAGGGTTTCCTCGTGTTTGTGTATCAGTAGGTGGGTAGGAAATTTGGTGGAAAAACAGGTATTCAGCACACTTGTGAGGCAGGACGGTTAGGGCTGAAAGATTTATTGGAGGCTGCGATGAAGTAATGTCAGAGGGACAGCGTCTAGGCATTCGCAATACGCCCCCTCTCCCTTTGCAATATTAAAAGCAGTGATGAGATCACCTTTGAATATTTTATATTTAAAAAAAATACACTTGAAGACTCTTTTGTTTGATTAATGGGCTACCCTGATCCTTCGGCTGTTGCTAGCAGGCTCTGAGAGAAGTTAAATTTTCAGTCAAAATGTGGATTGTGCAGCTGTGTTGGGCTTTGGGGGTCTTCAGATAGAGATTTTCAGAGTTCTGGTGGCTGTGGAAAATCCATTTCTGGGGTTTTTGGAGTCCTCGTGTTAGGTGGAACAGACAGGATTCAGGCTTTAGTCAGGGGCTATTAAGAGAAATATGCTTCTCATGCAGCTACGTCGTCAGCATCAGAGCTAATTAGCGGCGCAGCGGTGATTACTTGCCTTGCACTTGAGCTGGCAAATGCAAGCAGTGTCTGAGTGCACCTGTGGAGCAAAGGGAAGTGCTGGGAGTCGGTTCCTCCTCGCACAGGAATATTTTGGCTTTAATCCTTCAGGTGGCACGCGGGGTCCAAGTGTTTGAGCACTGTTTGAGCCTGGTGCCTCCACTCCTCTGGTCTCTGAGGAGAACTTAAAGCCTTGAGCGGCCTCAGAGAGCTTAATGTGAGCAGAGAGGGGGAAGAGCTGTAATGGCTGTGTTTGAAGGGCCAATTTTTTGTGTGGATGGGAGGAGGAATGCAATGACAGCATGTGTTGTGTTTCCCAGGTGCCAAGGGAGAGGAGATCTTCAACAGCTAAACCAGAGGTAGAACATCCTGACCAAGATCATAGCAAAAGGTATTAGCTCTTGTTGTCGTGTCTGCTTCTCTCCCTTTGCTCTTAGACCACCAAAGCTGCTGAAAGGGAACTTTGCTGCTCCGGGAACAGGGCAGGGACTGGGCTGTGCTGTGGAGAGCTGAGGCCCAAACTGCTGCTTATTGCTGTCCATTCTGCTTTCTGTCTGCTTGTGTGATACAGTCAGCTTGGCAGAAGCTGCTTCCTTTAACATTCAGTGAAGGCTTTCCTTCCCAAGGCTCGCAGAGGTCTTTTTTCCTTTTTTTTGCATGCAGTTATCTTGGTTCTTCACCGCTGAGTTTGGTCTCAGGCACCAGCAGCATTGCTCCCTCACACATGGGCTGCGGGGTAGGGACCGTTCTTGGCCTTCTTTTGTATCCTCTGGAACTTCTTTATTTCTTCTTCCTCTTCCTGCCCTCCCTCTCTTGTGCCCACTGCCCAAAGCAGGCAAAGATACTGATTAAACAAATATTATGAGCAATAGGTTCATTCAAGACAGGCTTCCACTCCCACCATCCTCTTCCTTTGCCCCGATTAGCAGATTAAAATGTCTTGAGGACCTGAGGTGAGGTTTTGTGGGCTGCTCGGATGACTTCTGGTTGAGGAGAGCAGCCTGGCTCCTCGCCATGTGTTTCCACTGCTCCCCTGGCACCAGCTGTGGTCTTCCTCTGACCCACAACCTAGCAGGACAAAAAGCAGATTGGTTTTCTGCCAGTGGAACAAGTTGAACTGGCTCCCCAGGGGGATGGCAGCATCCGAATTGGTGCAGAGCAGAGGGCAGCACCACGCTGTCGGGAGGGAGAAAGGAAGGGAGGGCAGGCTCCGAGCGGCTGCTGGCTCTGAGGTCAGCCCGGCCGCAGGTGTCGGTGTCATCCTGGCAGAAATGGGCGTGGTGGGGTGGGGTGGGGAGTGTGAAGCTATGCAAACCATCCCAGGGAGTCTCACTGGGGGTTTTCTCGGGGGATGTGCACGAAGGAGGGCTCTGATTTCCCCGGGAGCTCTTCCTGGGTGGCAGGCTTGTAGGGCAGAGGAACGGCGACCTCGTTCCCGATGCCCCTCTGGCCACCACCACCAGGCAGCAGTTTGGTGCAGCCTAGCGTGAGCCTGCGTGTGGTGAGAGGAGCATCACAGTGCTTGGTTTTGGATCGCTGTTTTCCAGGCAGTGAGAATCGGGGCTGTGAACCCTCACCCTTTGCTCCAGGGTAATTCATCTCCAAGGTGGAGTTATTAGCAGTGGGTGAGTGGTTTTTCTTTTTTTTTAATGAGTTTTCTCAGCTTTTCAGGTTAGAGTAGAGCCGTTCTTCACAGACACTAGAGTTGGTATCAGCTTGTCTTGTCCTAAAGGCTGAAAAGCAGTTCTTGTTTAACGAGAAAATGAAAAGTTCTGTTTATTTACTTTTTCCCTTGCCTTTTGAAGGAACAACATCCCGAACGTGACGGAGCAATCGCTTATTTCCGCCGGGGAAAACAGAGTCCAGGTCCTGAAGAATGTGCCGTTCAACATCGTCCTCCCGCACACGCCCCAGATGGGCATGGACAAGAGGGGCCACCTCACCACCCCTGACACCACTGTCACCGTCTCCATCGCCACCATGCCCACCCACTCCATCAAAACGGAGACCCAGCCCCATGGCTTCGCCGTGGGCATCCCTCCGAGCGTCTACCACCCCGAGCCCCCCGAGCGGGTGGTGGTCTTTGACAGGAACCTCAACCCTGACCAGTTCAGCTCCAACACCCAGCCGCAGAACTCCCAGAGACGGACGCCGGACTCAACCTTCTCTGAGACCTTCAAGGAAGGCGTGCAAGAGGTACAAAAAAAAAGACATACTCCGTGTGCGTTTGTCTTAATGATATGCACTGAAAATGGCAGTAACCGTGGTTTTATTTATTTTAAAGCCACACATTAAGGAACTGTGTAGCTGCTCCCTGTCTCTGAGATTTGGGGAAGCTTTAAAATGTTGCCATATGTTGACTCAGAAGGCTTGTGAGATGTTGTGCTTAGTTGACACCCAAAAGTTTAGGATTAAAAACCTGCTCTGGTGTCCTGTGGGTACAGACCAAAAATCAGCTCTTATCTGATGATCAGTTTGCCCGCCAGAAGTTCTGTGGCAACAGGTATCTGTTTAATCTTGACTTTTCTTGTTGCTGCCGTGTTAATTGTTGTGTTTTGTTTTGTGTCTGCACCAGGTTTTCTTCCCTGCTGAACTGAACCTCCGGATGACCAACATGAATTCAGAAGATTATGTTTTTGACAGTATTTCTGGGTAATGCTTTAATGTCCCCGTTGGCCTTTACTCTCTTCTTCTCTTAGAGTTGGTTTTCCTGTGAGGAAGCGGTGCAGCTCGCTCCCTTCTGCCCTGAGTCTCTGTCAGGCTCTGGGTGTGAAAAGCAGCACCAGCAGCTTATTAGCTTGTGAATTTAATTGAATTGCTAATAGCTAATGGATAGCTTTCTGTTCCATGAGAGCAGCTTGCTGCTCTATGATGGAACAGAGAGCTTCCAGGCCGGCCTGCTGCTGTGACTTGGAATTTAGCTTGCCAAGAACCTCTCTGAAATCTTCATTCATGAAGGGAATAGTTTTAAAAAGGGGCTCGTCCTGTTTTCCAACTTCCTCGCCTGTTGATGGCTCTGTGAGTCAACTAACGACTTTGGAATTTCTCCAAATTAAATGTAAAACATTTAATCAGCTTTCCAGGAAAATGCCTTAGCAATCGCTGTCCTCTTGGCTTCACAGGAACAACTTTGAGTACACCCTGGAGGCCTCCAAGTCTCTGCGACAGAAGCCGGGGGACAGCACGATGACTTACCTGAACAAAGGCCAGTTCTACCCCATCACACTGAAAGAAGTGAGCAGCAGCGAAGGAATCCATCACCCCATCAGCAAAGTGCGAGTAAGTGGCAGCTTTTGGGGTTTCTTGGGAGGGAGGGCATGCATCTTGGTAGCTTAAGCTATCCAAAAACAAATCCCAACTGGAGAATCAGCACACTGGGCAGCTTTTACCCGCTCTGTCACCTCAGTGCTCGCTCTTCCACTGTCCACCTCCTTCCAGACCAACCCCTCCTGGCTCTTCCTGCTAGGAAGCGGTGTCAGCACTTGCGTGCAGGTGATGCAACCCCTGCAATGAGCGGAAAACCCAACACCGAGGAGGACTTCCAAGACAAACGTACTCCACGGCCTTTTCTTTCTCCTCTTTGCGTTGGGTTTTCTTTAATCTTCTGCCCTCCCCCTCTCCTTTCAGAGCGTCATCATGGTGGTGTTTGCTGAAGACAAAACAAGAGAAGATCAGCTCAGGCACTGGAAATACTGGCACTCGAGACAGCACACAGCCAAACAAAGATGCATTGACATAGGTAAAGGAACACTCTTCTTGCTGATGTCAAACTCCAGCCTAATTCCTTGGCACGGTTTGGCTTTCTGCTAAAGCTTTGTTATTTTAAGCAACCTTTGGATGACGCTTTCAACTCTCCATAGCTCTGCTGAAAGACTGGAGAGAGCTGCTGATTGTTTCGAGCTGGTGTAATTTTTAGCACCCTGTAGAGGGTTTATTTGGAGGGGTTTATTTCGTTCAGGAGCAGGCTGAGTTCAGAGCCCTGCGTTGGGAGATGGAATTTGGAGACAGTCATTACAGGTGCTTTGGCCTGTCTTGGTGGCTGTAGCTAAATTGCAGCCCACGGTCTCTGCAGCAGTCTTAAATACCGTGTATTTAATGATTTCTTCAAATCCTTGTGGAAATACCTCGATGCTAGTGATCCTCCTTCCCCCAGCTCTGCTCACAGCTGCCTTTTGGTGCCCGGCAAAAAAAGAAAACACTGCAAATTTTCACTCGCTTCTAGACAAGGCAGTGGCTGGCTGGCGTCCAGCCTCCTCTGGCTGAAGGCTGGCTTGTGCTCCTCGCCTTCCTTCTGCGAATAAAAGCAGGGATTAATCACTTGGCACTTGGAGCAGACGCGCATGCAAATCTCTGTTAGTGAAGGAGTTTTACTGCGAGCTTGTTCCTCTGCCATCCGGAGCAGAGTTTCCCGTACGCAGCAGGTTGTGGCATGGGGCGTGCAGTGTCTGATGTCTGCTTTTCCTCTAGGAGAAGCACTAGGGATCTCCTGGGAGCCCCCTATTTTGCCCCTCCCTCCTGTTTTTTTTTTTGCTTTGTGTGTGTGCTTGGTATGAGAGCTATTTGCAGCCTTTTTAATGATCCCTTTTTAAATACAGTTCAGCTTCCTTTGCCCCCAAGGGGTTGCTGAGGAGTTGCAGTTTCTAGCTGCTGTGTGTGTGAATTAAGAGCTCCTCCGGACGGTATCGCCTCTCCCTCTCCCTCACGCCTCTCCTTTCTAACAGCTGACTACAAGGAGAGCTTCAACACCATCAGCAACATCGAGGAGATCGCCTACAACGCCATTTCCTTCACCTGGGACATCAACGAGGAGGCCAAGGTGTGTGAGCACGCTCAGGCTGCCCGTCCTTTCGGGGGGGAAGGGAAGGGCGTGTGGCCTTACCCGGTGATTAGCGTGTAACGAGTTTGTTTACGCTCTGCTGTGAGGCAAAACCTCCTGGCTGTTTCTTCAGAGGCTTTGGATGCGCAACTGCTTTCGGGTTCTTGGCTGAATCGTCTTCCCTGAGAGATGGGCGCTGGCAGAAGGAAGCGCCGAGGGTTTCCAGGGGAGATGAGGCGGTGCTGAGCGCAGCGGGGCTTGGCAGTTAGCACAGCCCCTTGGCAGGAGCCAGGGGGACAATTTTTGAGGAGTTAAGGTTGGGACGAGGGGCTCGTCCTCAGGAGAAGGGGGAGCAGCTGCTGCTGTTGAGCTACCCAAACAGTGCTGCTGAACCCGCAGGTGCCAACGCACGGTGACCTATTTCCAGCTCCAGCAGCCTCCCAGTGAACTCCCTTCTGATCTCGCTGCAGAGAGCTGCCTTGCAGCGTGCCTGCAGTGAGCCGGGTATGGATTTGGGTACCAGGCTTCCCGCTGGCTGTCCTGAGGAAAGCAATCCCTTCCCACCCGCTGAGCCCAGCCATTTTTCTCCCAATTTCCTCTCTCAGGGTAGTCTCAGCAAGCCAAGAGGCACTGAGCAGATCCAGATAGAGGACGTGGTGAATTTTTAGCACCAAAAACACTGTGCAACACCTCCCCTGCGCCATCCTTGGCACGTCCAGGTGGAGATGCTGGTTGTAGCGGGGCCAGCAGCATTCATCTAGGTGAACCGAAGCGTTCAAACAGGTTCCTCAGCAGGGAACTGATGCACTTGATCTGCGTGAACCTGGTGCCAGGTGGTCATCGCCCAGGTGCTCCGCAGACCCCTGAACGTTCAGGTCTTGCAGGCCCGCAGGGAAATCGCCCTGTGGCAGTTTGGAGATGTCTCAGGACACCCCTGGGGCTGTATTTCAGCTCGCGGGGTGAGGTGGTGCAGGGAGATGTGACCCAGACTGGTTTTGTAGCTACAGAAGGCGAGTTTGTCTCCAGACTTTCACTCCTAGTGTGCAAGATCAGTGTGCTTTGAAGGCACTGTGACTCCAGGAGCCAAACGCTTGTGCTCTTGGTGTCAGGATCGCATTAAGACCAAAATACCGTGGATTTGGAGTGTTCAAAGAACTCTCACTTGTAACAAACCCTCTGTGTTTTAAATGTCTATTCAACTTATTTATTTTTTGCCCCCGAGTGGATGCGTTCTGTCAGTGGTTGGGTTTCTCAGCCGAGCTGCTGCTCTTTCCCAACTCCTGTGATCTTATCAGGAGATGCCTGAGCCAATTTCAACAATTTTTATTGCACGGTTCACTTACCTTGTGTGCACGCACTCTCTCCTCCCCCTCCATCTCCTTTTTTTTCCCCCCGAAGAATATTCTTGAAGAATACACAAAGAGCAGGGAGTGAGGAGAGCTGAACTCCTTGTGGAAGACCTTCTGTAGCATCAGAAATAAATAATGTCTGGTCTTTAATAAGAGCAGCGTGGCATGGATGGTGCATTTAACCAGCCGGCAAGCCTTGCTGCTTAGAAACTTGTCTGATTCCCCTGGGATGCAGGACGTGGCAGCTCTGCTCAGAGCGACAGCGTGCTATGGAGTGCACCAGGAGCACTTCACGTGTGCCAGGCTTTTCCCACTCTGGGATCAGTGCCTGTGGGTTTTGGAGCTGTTTTGTGCTTCTTTCTGGCAGCTCCTCTCTGCCCTCTTCTGTTCCTGGGAGACAACACAGGAATTGCTGGGAAAGTGGTGTGTTAAGAACTTGCTGGGCTTCCCGGGTGTGTTCAAGCCAGAAAAGGGCTCAGGACCTAAAGTGAGAGTGGCGAGGAGACACAGGTTTTGAGTGGGAAAGAGTAGGAGATGCTTCTGAGATTGGCAGGAGAGTGAAGAAAGGGTAGAAGGATGGAGAAGGAGGTGCTGTGGAGAAGGGAGGATGGCAAACTGGGAATAGAGCTGACGAATTGTGGAGCTGGGGATTTGGGAAAGTCAGCACGGCCGCTCGGGAGCAGCCCCAGCTGGGTGGGAGCGTGGCCTGCTGAGTCGGGCAGAGATGGGAGCTGATAGAGCCGCCTGCACGCGGCAGGGGAACGCTGGAGTCACCCTCAGGCTGGCCGAGACTTCAAACAGTTTCCCACCCCGTCCTGGGCTTCTGCTGCGCTGGGCAGACGGTCGAGGCAGAATTGTTTCTTTTGGTAACAGCTTTTAGGTGTCTGAAGACAAACTCATCATCTTCTGGTGCTTCATTAGGGCTGGGATGGAGCTCGCTGTGGAGGTGCCTGCCCCTCCTTGTTGACCAAGCGGGCTTGGCCGTCTTTAAAGTCTGTTGCTGAAGCTGGGGAAGAGGAATTCTTGTCCTTGCAGTGCTTTTTGTGTGAGTTGTCTCCACCTGGCAATGGGGAGAAGCATCTGTAGGCTCAGGGTGTGAGTTTTTTGGGACTGGGAGCCGTCTCCTCGGGGTCCATACAGCATGCCTGGTTCTCCTTCCCCTGGCTGCTATCTGTTAGAGGTCTCCTGATGGGAATTGTCACCAGGCGCGTGGTTGAGTGCGCGTTTCTTACCCGTCTTTCCTGCCAGTCCATGCTGGCTGTGGTCCTGTTACCTCTGCTGCTACCCGTTAGGCTGCGTGGAGCAAATTCTCTCTCTACCTCTGGCCTGGGGACACGGCCTTGCTCTCAGGTCAGTGCCGGCTGAACAATCTGGCCGGGTGGCTTTCTCCAGGGGTAACTGGCTGTGCTGGATCCGGCTTTGCTCAAATCCCGTGGAGCAGGAGGGTTGGGGTTGGGGTTCTGCCCGGGGGGGCTCCAAAACGACTCACATGCCCGACCTGCTCAGCTGCAGCTCCAAGGAGAGGCAGGATTTGGCAAAACACATCCATGTCCTCTCGGTGGTGGTGTCTTCGCCGGATTTTGTGGCTGCAAGAACTCGAGGTGGTGTTTGAGGCACCCTTCTGTGCTGTAAGCAGGCACTGTGTGAAAAGACTCCCCCAAAAAGGGGTACCCAGGGAGGGTGTAGCCGTGGTGTTGGCTGGTAGCGCTTTTGGCTTCTTCCCACCGAGGAGGAGGTGCTGTGAGATCTCTCAAGTGACATCCTGAATGACAGAGTTCAAACAATGCCCTTTTTTTGCCCAAGATGAATGGGACAGTGGTGCATTAAGGTAATTTGTGGCTAATTGGAATTAGCCTTCAGAAATATCACATTGCCCCGCAAGGGTGGTCTTCTGGCAGTCCTCATGCTTCCTGCCTGCAATTCCTGGGCAGAACTTCTTCTCTTCTTCTGGAGAGGGCGGATTTCGTGCTCATAACTTGAATTAAGGCTGGGGCGTACGCTGCTGGTTTGTTTTAAGAGTTTCTTCTGGTGTAGCCCTAGCTTTGTGTTGGCTGTAGGAAGAGCTCAGCTTCTGTGATTGATGAATATTGCCCGGCTTTGTATGGATGCCATTGTAATGAAGCAGCAGTCATATGCCTCATTAAAGGAGGTGTTGCCACCTCGAGAAGCGCTGAGGCCGTACAGGTTTGGTGAGTTGGAAATGAAACGATGAAATGTGATGAGTCAAACATACTTCAAGGAGAGGGGCTGGGTTGGAGCCAGCGCTGCAGACCACGAGTACTTTGAGGCACAGCTACGTGGAGCAGGGACGTAGGGAAAGCACAGCAAGGATTGCCTGCCTCGCAACACGGACAGATATTTTTCTTTTAACTTCCATTCCTTTCATACCTTATGGCAAAACTTCCTCTTCAGCCATGTCTGTGCCTTGGCAGACTTCATTCTTTGTCTTTTTTACCTCATGGCCAATTGTTCTCCCCCCCAAGCTGCTGCTTTTGTTTCCTTTCGAACCACCCCGCCGGGAGCTGACACCTGGGCTGCATCTTTTATCTTATCAGAGCGTGGGGCGGGGAGGAAGCGCTGGCAGGAGTGGGAACCTCTCTCCCCGCTTTTCCCACGTGCTGGGAGCAGAGCTTCGTGCGTTTCCTCGCCCCAGAACACGCTGCAGTACCAATCAGCCTTCCCATTTGAGCAGGAATCTGCAGGAAAAAAAGGAATCTGCATTTTCCTTTCATTCCTGTGCCTTCTTCTGTTGGTGGCACCAGCTCGCTCCGAGGATGCTCTGGACTCTGCCAGGCACCCACAGGGGCTCGGGGGCTGCTGCAGATCGATTCCTCGCGCTCCCAGTGGATGCTGCCCCATCACGGCCCTGCCAGACGAGCCTTATTTGGAGCGTCCGATCCCGAAGGCGGGGAGCCCACAGGTGCACGAGTTGCCCAATTTATTTTTTTTATCTCCCTTTTCCTGGCTCGCCTCCTGCTGATGCAAAACCTGCGGTGCGCACGTGGGAGGCGAAGAAACGAATGTGAGAGCAGGAAGACGAGCGACCTCTCAGGTGATCCCTACTGAGCTGGTTTGTTTTTTTTTTTTTTTTTTTTTTGCTCTTTTAAAGCCAGAGCAGTTTTCTCAGCACTGCTTTCTTAGGACGTGCCCCGGTGGATGTGTGCGGGCAGAGCTCTGCTCACACTATGAGCCTGGAAGCCACCTCGCTTCGTTAGCACCCCTCAGAGCCACGCTGGTGCATAAATTATAAAGCTTTGGGGCCAGGGGATTTGCATCCTGGCAGCTCGCAGCACGGATTGAGCATGTTAAGGCCTATCTCGTGTGCATCCCATCTTGTATACGTCCGTGTGGATGTATCTTTAGCAAAGACCCTTTATTTTTCTCTTCCGTGTCCATATTTGTCCAAGCCTGGAGGGAAACCACACGCCTTCTGCTGTCAGCACTTCAACAGCAACCTTGGAGTTTCTGGGTAGTTTCTCTTTAGTGTGTGGCTGATGAATGAGTTGTTGGGGCTGCTCTCACCGGGTCATCCCCAAAGGTTCCTCTTTGGGTTAGCTCGGTCGAGGGCTTCTGTGTCTCTTTGTCCTGCAAAAAGTGAAAACAACACGGAGGTAAAATCAGCTGCGCAGCAACTGCTGCCTTCCCCTGCCAGAGCCCACAGGGAGGAGCATGAGCAGCACGGATCCCACGGGTCCTGTTGGGTGAGCTCTGGGTGCGTGGGGAGCCCGTCCACAGGTGAGGCTGCCCCTTTGTGGGGTGGAAATGATCCCAGAATGTGCTGGGACCACTTTGCCTACTGTGTGTGGGACCAGGACAATCCCAGAAGGACATCCAGGAGCTGCATGATGGCCAAGATAAACTGGGGGGAAGAGCACAGGGTGCTCCAGCCCTTCCTTTTGGAGAAGCATCTCTCATCTCGCTGACAGTGAGGTTCCTGCAGCGCTTTGATTGCCCTTTAATTACACCTGGCTTGTTTGAAAGGCAGATCTGGTTGGAAAAAGGTGCTGTGTGGAAAGAGCTCGGCTGTCTCCGCTGCCCTTCCTCGAGGGCACGCAGCGGAGCAGCCGGATTAATTTTTCCTGCGTTATTAAAGCTCGCGGATGGTTCCTCGTGGCTCCCGAGGTGGGCACGGCGCCGTTCCTACCAGCTGTGAGCAGCGCGGGAAGTCACAAGGTCGGGCTTCTTCCCACGCTGCCTCCTGTCCTGATCTCAGATCTCCCTGCTTTAAAGCCTCCGTTTGTGCTCTCTGTGAGGCCGGGCTGCTCCTCTGCCCCCAAAGGCTGCAGGACACGAGATGTGGTGGCGAGGGAGCGGTGGGTGCGGGGCTTCTGCGGCACATTGGGGTGAAAAACCAACAAAAAAGAAAGAAAAAGTAAAGCCTGGCTTCAGCTAGAGAGGAAAAGCCTGGAAATCTGATTCAACGTACACTCAAGGCTTAACTGCCGAGCAAGCAAAATAGCTCGGGAACGGGTTCCTAATCCTTTTCCAGATCTGTTTTAAAGAAAACCTACCTAACTTTTGAGGCTTTGAGTCATGGCTGTAAGCGCTCGGGCTTGACAGCGCTCTATTTTTAAGCGCCGTCGTTGTGTTGGATCCTGGGAGGTGAGATGAGAGAAAATGTTTTTTTTTTTTAAAAAAAAAAAAAGTAACAACAAATCTTAATATAGCTGAGAATGCGGAACTGCCCTTAGAAAAATAGGTTGGACAGATGAAAAGGAATCTTGCTCAGCAGGCTGGAGACGCAGAGCAGCTTCTGCGGTTACGTTTTTCTTTCTTCTGGCAATGTTGGGGTGGGGATGGAGCTGGCGCAGTCCCTCGGCCTGACGTTTCTTCTCCGGGGCGAGTCAAATCTTCCCCAACAAAAGCTCCTGGCTGAAACTGCTCGAGCCCCAAGTGGAGAAGCTGTTCTCCTGCAAGGCTGTTTTTGGGGAAGTGGAAGGGATTTTAAGCTCAAAAATAGGATTTGGAGCTACAGGGCGGGGAGGGAGGAGGAGGAGGGGAGCCTTTCCCAAGGGCTTTGTAGGAAGGGGAGCGGCCAGGCTCTGAGGGAGGTGGTTGTCATCTGCCTGGCGTCCCCAAGACTTAAAGGGCATGAAAATGAAGTCAGCCGTTCAAAGCCCCAGCTAAGCAAATGAGGAGAGCTTCGAGTGGGAGGATAATCTTTGCCATCTGACGGGGCCCCGAATTCCCGTGGGACACCCAGAAGCACCCATCCCTCGTGTCAAGACCCAGGCTCCGAGAGCTGCCTGTGCTTTGCTTCCCTGCTAAGCCCAGCCTCCAGGGAGCCTCTTGGGCAGCAGCCTGCAGGCAGAGCCCAAAACTGGGACCCGAATTCTCCAGGAGATACGTGCTGCCTCTGTGAAACCTGTGTGGGATTTCCCAGGAGCTGTGAGGCTGTGGCAGACCTGGGGTGGCTGCTGCTGCGTGTTTCCCCGCAGAACATCCCCCCTTTTTCGTGCAGACAGGAGAGCTGCGTGTGAATATTCACCAGGGTAAATAAACTTCAAATTAAAAATGTCAAAGCATGCAAACACCCGAGCCACGGCTCTCTTACAACACCCCCCCTGCTCAGGGAAGCCGATTACTCAGGCTGTGCCCGCAGCTGATTACAGGAAAGGGGCGAGAGCAGCTCCGAAAACACCTCCAAGCTTTCCCCAGGGCCGTGCCAGAATGCGCTTTGGGAGCTGAAGGCAGCAAAAAGGGGAGGCGGGCGGATGAAAGGCAGGGTAGGGATGGGAAGCGTTCAAACAGTGATCCCAAACAGACCTCCTCGCCTTTCCGAGCTGCCATTGAGCCTTCGCAGTACCGAGGAGGCTCCGGAAGGTGGCAGGAGCTCACTGCACAGCTCCTCAGCCTGGCTCTCAGTGTTAGAGGCGAGAGAAATCAGCAATTAGGTGGTGGGAGCGTGCTCCTGCAGGACAACGTGATTCTGGCTCCCGCAGCTTGGATACCTTATTATTTTTTTAATTTATTATTTCAGAGGTGGGTGGCCAGCCTTAGCTCACGAGGCAGAGAGGAGAGCCTTTTTCTGAGGCAATTAAGAAAATGAAATTAGATGTGTTGAAAAATCACTCCTAATTCAATTTTTTATTAGAATAATGAAAATATTGCCCTTTCCTGGTGGTTCTGAGCTCTGACAGGGTGCTGCAGCTCTTCCTGGGGAACATTCAGAATGGTGTTTGTAGTTTTAAGAAGCAAACCCAGGAACTCTCTCACTGAAATGATAGCATTATTTATTTGGTTAAAGGTAATAGCTTGCCTAATATTTTAATAGCTTTTAATACAACTTAAAAAGTTCTGAGTGCTTGTATCAGATTAGGTGCAACTCGCAAAGCTTTGGTTTACCACGTCCAAATTAATGCAAGTCTTTCAGGATGGTAAAAGACTTGCCAGTGAAGCTTGGGTATAGGAGAATTCCTGCTGCTAAAGGTTTGCTGAGGAGAGATGAGATAAAAAAAAAAATACCAAGGAAAGACAGGTGGAGCTCTCCTGAAGTTTGAGAGTTGGACAAAACCCTTGAACAAGAGTGAATTTCCCTTATAATGCCATCTATAAATACTAAGGACCGTGGTACTGCTTCGTGTGGCTCTCAGCTGATACCTCAAAAGACAGAAAGCTCTCCCTGGAGGGTGAGGGCCTGCACTTAGCTCTCAGCTCTGGCTGTGTAGTGCCTTGCCAGGAATTTCTGTGGCACTTGTGACGGATTGGTTTCCTCTCCTGCAGGTTTTCATTTCTGTGAACTGCCTCAGCACGGATTTCTCCTCGCAGAAGGGGGTGAAAGGCCTGCCCCTGAACCTGCAGATCGACACCTACAGCTACAACAACAGGAGTAACAAGCCCGTGCACCGAGCCTACTGCCAGATTAAAGTCTTCTGCGACAAGGTAAGGCTGGCTCAGCGTGCAGGTGATGTTTTGGGGCGGGCTGTTCCACAGCTGAGGGGACTGCTTGGGATTTGGGCTCACCGAGGGCTCCTGTGCAAGGGAAAATATTCCAACCCCTTCCACTTGGCTCGTGGAGGTTAGGATGACCTCAGATCAATTTGCTGCTCTCCTGAGCGCTGTGGAGATGTTGACTTTGGAGAAAGGTCAGCCTGTGGCAGAGGATCAAATGTGGTGGTCCAGACACTCGGAAAAGCACCTGATGGATTGAGCAAGCGGAGGCTTTTATTTTTGCTCAGCTTCTGTCTTGACAGCCTTTGAAAGCGCTGGGTTTGTGGAGGAGAGGGATATCTGCCTGTCTCTGTAACCTGCTTCCATCCAAACCATCCTCAGAGGGACTGTGTCCTCTCCGGATGGGCTTCCTGTCACCCTAGGGCACTGCTGCAAAGATCCCAAAATGTATGGGATCTGCCTCTGCTATGGCATCCCATGGTTCCACCCTGCCACGTTTTATTGTCCAGTTTTGTATTAAACCCAAACTTATTAAATTTACCAGGGAGCTAAATTCTTGCTGCTACCCCTCTGCAGATGTTCTTCTGTGAAGTTGGTTAATAAAAGGGCAGGCTTGCTGAGCACGTAATTTCATCAAATCCCGTTATCCTGCCGTGCTGCTGGATCCTTTATTTTCGTTTGGGGTTTTGACCTTTCCTCCCGCTTCCTTCCTCCAGATGCTTTGCAAACTGGAGCTGAATTAACGGAGGGAAAGAAGGGGAGAGAAGGCACCGAGTCCCAAACCCCAGCCCTGTCCATCCCCTCCGGCCACCTGTAGGAGCCCTGGCATTTCAGCAAGAGCTCCCAGTTTTCCAGCAGCAGTCGTGCTTTAAATCTCGAGCGATCAATCAGCTTATCACAGCTGCTTGTAGGAGCAGGGTTACTATAGCATCCACACAGCTCAGTCCTTAATGTGTTTGTCCTCGTGGCGCTGCCTGCAGGCGAGTGCTGCTATCAGGGGGAGCCTTTTAGGAGGAGCTGAAGCTCCAGGGGCACAGCCCTGAGGACCTGCAGCCAGTGCCCCTTTTCCAGCGCCTCCTGCACGCTGTGGGGCACGGCTCCAGCCTCCAGCTGGCTCCCTGCAGCACCGTGCTGTTACATGAGACCCGTTTGGCTCCGTGTCCCCGATGCCCTCACGTCTCCCAGCCCCTTTGCCCTAGTTTCCACGACCGGGAAGTGGCTCCTGGTGACATTTCCCCCCCAGCCAAGCACCCCAGCTGCGTTGGCAGGTGCAGAGGCACGTTGGGCACGCCGACGGGGAGCCCAGCTTGAGTTCCCCAGCACACAGAGCCCTGCTGAGCCCCTGCCTGGTGCTGCTGGATGGCCTGCAGGGGAAAGGCCCCGCCATGGAGCACCTGGGGAGCTCCTCTCCTGTGTGTCTGGGGCTTACCAGCGAGCCCCCTTCTGCTGCAGGAGGGAGGAATGAGCGGCTGCCCTCTCCAAAACACAGCTTCCCTTTTACAGCCCAAGAATCCCTTACACAGCCAGAGACTTAGCAGGAGAAAAGCAACAACCACAAAACCCTGCGGCCTTTAACATGGTGGCGAGAGCACAAAATCTTAGATTTCAGGCTGTAGGCAGTTTTCCCAGCTTCATCACCTTGAAAACTTCTTTCTTATGAACTTGTTTATCCCAGAACTGTCGAATACTGGCTTTCTGTCTCTTCTTTCCTATGTCTCTTTTTCTTCCTTCCTCCAAAAGTACCTTACCCTTAAGCAGAAAGGGCTGTTACCAAAGCAGCTGAGATGCTGCGGGTTGCAGGGGATTGAAAACAGAGCTCTGAGACTGTACAGAAAGGGAGGATGGAGGAGACTTCCTCAAAACACCTCCAAATCCTGGTCTGTGTGTTCCTCGCATCGAAGACAGCGCAGTTCTGTAGTGTGAAGTTTGAGTGGCAGAACTTCAGTAATCCCAAACAAAAAGTAGAAGACACAGGGCTGGAGCCAGATGTGCTCTTCCTGCTGCCATCCTCTGCAGTCCCCACAAACCAGACTTCCTTTTTCCTTGCCGTTAGAGCTGCCTGCGTGTACCTAGCAGGAAATACAGCTCCCTCCCCGCTGCTGCTTGGGCTGGAGCTCCAGAGCTGTGTGGGCAGGAACCAGGGGGCTGTGGCTTCTGTCATAGCCTGGCACTGGCACGAGGAGAAGAAATAACGTCTGCTTTAAAGCAATGAGTGTCTGCAGCTTTGGCTGTGTTTGTGTGACGTGCAGAAAAGTAGCTGGCACTTGGTGACCCAATGTGGCTTCGTTTTCACAGATCAGTGTTTAAAGATTATTTACTGAACTCTTACGTTGAGAAAATGTGAAAGCTTTTCTTGTTTCAAACACTTTGGATTTATTTCATATCACATTTCTTAACGGTTGGTTTTGCTGTGGGTATCTTTTGTCATCACATCCCCATCTGACTCGAAAAACAAGCCAGTGGCTTCATCTCGGATATGGTCACTGGACTTTAGGTGGCAGGACTTGGAAGTAAATTCTGGGCAGATCTCAACGTTGCTATGATCTTACTGAAGCTGACCTCCACAAACACAGCTCTTAAAGAATCACTGTTCCTGCCTCTGGATGGAAACCCAAACTAAAAAGACCTTCCCTCTCACCCCCTTTCCTTAATCTCTTGTCTGGCAGGGGGCAGAAAGGAAGATCAGGGATGAAGAGCGAAAACAAAGCAAAAGAAAAGGCAAGTGCACTGACCCCAGCTCTCAGTTGAATGCCTGTAAGTAGAAATTACTCTGCGAGTATTTTAAATAGTAGATCTCATTTTGGCTGCAAGTAACTTGTGCGCTGGTGTTCTCCTGAGTCCATTTTTTTATCCCCTGTGGAATCGGTTTTGTTTTAAGCTGCTGTTTATGGAGTCACTCGCTGTTTCACAACTTTCCTAGGCCTGCACTTTTCCACATGTATGAATGAAGTGAAGGCCTCAGCAGTCTGTGTGTGATGTGGGGATGAGATTTTTGTGTTTTTAACTGCTGCAGAGGAGACTTTTTTTTATTTTGACTGCAGCAGACCCTGAGTTTTGACTAGTTATTCGCTAACAGAGCCGCTTAGAGGAACATCTCCCTGCTCACCTCTTTGTGGGGCAGGCGTGTGCTCTCTCCTGCTATGATCAGGGGCTGGTTCAGCAAGCACGCGCCTCCCGCCTTGCTGGGCAGGATTTTCCTGACGCAGCAGGTCTGGGCAGCTGGAGCAGCTTCAGAAGCAGATAATGCTCCCAGGGAACCCGTTTGCTCAAGGGCAGGTGGAAAAAAGGGATGGGTTTTTGCTTTTTGCCCTGAGTAGAAGGTGGGTTTAGCACAGTGTCACACAGGCAGTCCCCCGGCGGCTCCCAGGAGATTTTTTTTCTTTGCCTAACGGCTGCACGCTGCCAGCAGCTCCAGCACTGACTCCCAGGGTCTTGTGATTTTACAGAAGGTGCTTTCTAGGATGAATTTCCTCGGCTTGGGCTTAGCCCGAAGTGACCTTTATATTCCTGGAAAGCCCAAACCATTGCTCTTCAGTTCTTGTGTGGGGAGTTTTTAATTGCCTTGAGCCACTAAGCTGTGGTACCCACTCCAGGATCTCTAATACCACGTGCCCGTGGATTCAATGGCAGAAATGATTTTCACCAAAAGTCACCAATTATTTTATTTTACAGGAATTGAGCAATCTTGAAAAAAAAAATAAATCAGTGGCATGTTAATTCTTTGTCTTCCTTCTGACTTTCTGGTGTGGGAAATTCAGCAACATTTTGGGGGAATGCTTAGGGAGAAGAGGGGAGTTTGAACCATCTTTTGCCCTCTGTTTGGTTCACTTGGTACGTGGAAAACCTGGTTTTCTCTGTTGTGTGAGTGGTCAGAGCGCTCCCCAGCCTGTTCTAATGCTTCAATGAAGTCAAGCAGCTCACTCAGATGGAGCAAACTCCTGTTCCTCTGCAAAATAAGCTGGTTTTTGGGGTCCAGGCCCTCCCCCAGGACAACCCAGGTTCAAACTTCCCTGCTACAGGAGGTTCTCCCTTTCCTGCAGGGTACTCGTCCCCAACAGTCTCTTAATTTGAAATGATTTAGGAAAGCTTTGGCCTCGTTGCCATTTATTTACCCTCTCCTCCACCCCCCTCTTTGGTCTCTCCCCAGTTTCCGATGTCAAAGTGCCCATGCTTCCCTCGCACAAGCGCACGGACATCACCATCTTCAAGCCCTTCATGGACCTGGACACGCAGCCCGTCCTCTTCATTCCCGACGTTCACTTTGCGAACCTGCAGCGCGGGGCTCACGTAAGCACCACCCATGGGCCTGGGGAGGGCTGGGGGGCGTAGCTGCAAGAAGTCTGGGGTGCTGTGCGTGCAAATAAATCCCAAATACCAGGCTGTCTGCACTGGGGCTGTACACAAACACAGGGCGAGCCTTAAATGAGCAAGGGACGTTGCTCCGAGACGTGTTGGCTGGAGTTACCCAGGGATGTTGTCTGAATTAATTATTTTCAAATGAACTCCTGTTGGTAAGAACCTGAAATGATTTTTTTTGCCCAAGCATCTCCAGCTGAGAGTTCCCTGAAGGAACCGCAGGCTGTTTTTCTCTTGTAAAGTCTGTCGGGTTTCTGGTGGGCTGCTGTAGACCTCGGGCTTCTCTATCTTCAGCCTGCTGCAGAGTGAAAAGCCGTTTGGTGGAGCTGGCGAATGTCTCAGCTTTGTGATCTGCTGCCAGAGCACCCTGCCGCAGCATTCCTGGAAAGTCCCAGCTGACAGGAAGCTGGAAGGAAAAAAAAAAAAAAAGATTGAAACTTCAAAACCTTCAGCTTCACTGTGTCGAGAGTTCTGGCATGTGACAATGTTAACCTGACTTCTTAAGAGCACTGCCTGAGCTCCTACCAGGGATTGGGAGAATAAACGTGTATCTGTAAGATTGTAGGAAAGCACGTGTTAAAAATCAAAGGTTCCTACTGCTGAGTGCTGATGGAAGACACTGAACTAGACAGAAAACCGATTGGCTCTTGTATGTTCCCATCTTTAGCATTTGAGATCCTTCGATTTCTTTTAAGAGGTAAAGATGCTTAGTGGCTTCTGGAAGATTGAGTCTTATTTTTGATACAGGGTTGAAAGATAAGAAACAAAATCCAGTTCTGGATAAAATATTTTATAACCCTAAGCAAAAATATTACCTGTTTGTTAAAATGAAGGCAACATTTATTGCTTGGACCCGAGCATCTCACTTCTAGTAGTGTAGTTTTGGCAGGCTCCCTACCTGACAGCCTCTTTATCCCCTGTATCCTGTACCGATCCTTGAACAAAAACTTGTCACTGGGGCATCTCTGGGTGGATAGCAGCAGGATCATCCCAAGTTTTTCTGCATAAGTCAAAAATAAATGTTCTCTTTGTTTTTAAAAGGTCCTTCCTGTTGCTTCGGAAGAGCTGGAGGGTGAAAGGTAAGAGCAGTGCTACTTCCGCCTCATCAGGTTTTGTCTCTAACCGTGCTGTGCCTAACTTTTTGTCCTGTCAATGACAGCTCCAACCTGAAGAGAGGAGCTTATATTGGCGAAGAGGACTTCATCGCCAGTCCTAATAAGATGGCCAGAATAGAAGAACCAAAAAGAGGTATTGAACCAAACTGAGTGTGTGTTCTGCTGCTTTAAAGCTGTTATCAACTTGTGCACTCTGTTGTGGGATTGGACATTGCTGTGGGGTCGTGGAAGATCAGATCCCTTTGGGATGAGATCCCCTTTGGAGATGGTGCAGAGGGTTACCTGCCTGGTGAGAGCTGTGTGTGGAAAGACGATGATGAAGTTTAAAGGATTAAAAGGCGAGGATTAAACTTCTGATGGGGCAAAGTTAAAGCTCCCAAGTTGGATGTGAATGGGGCTACTGCTGTAGTCTGTGTAACCTAAAAAGAAACGATGGATTTTACAAAAGGGAATGAGGCCTCTTGGTTTCTCTTGCTGCTGTATGCCACAAAACAAGACCCTTGTATCCCATCCAGGCTGCAATACCTACTCATTAGAAGACAGATTAAAGCTGGCAAAGACGTCCAAGTCCTGGCTTTTTAGCCGATAAGGCCTGCTCCTCAGCCTTAACGCAGGTTTTAATGAGGCTGATTTTATTTACGCTGACTCTCTGCTAGCTTGAGAACACTTGGGGTGCTTGTTAAGGGGAAGGAAGACTGATGAGACAGCACAGGAGGAGTGGGGGAGCACACAAATAAATTAATTAAAAAGGAAGAGGTGGCCGGGTTGGCTTCACCTACTGCCCAGGTCTTTGAGGAGCAGTTACACAGTTACCTCCTCTCTGATTTGTTTTCCAGTGTTGCTGTATGTCCGGAAAGAGTCAGAAGAAGTCTTTGATGCACTTATGCTAAAGACCCCGTCTCTGAAAGGCCTGATGGAAGCTGTAAGTATCGAGGCTGTTTCCTAGTCCTTGCCTCCAGTTGGAAGAAAACACGAGTGTAGTCCCTGGCTGTCCAGTCGTGCACAAATAATTGTAGGAATGCTGATCCCAGTTTGTGTCCTTGTGTTCCTGCTGCTTTGGGATCAAAAGCAGAAGGCTGGTGCACTTTCAGTAGTGGGAAAATGAACATAAATAACACTTCGATTCACTGCTGAAGGAGCTTTTGGAAGCTTCCCTTTTAAATGGCTTACTCCACACACTGAAGGTCTGAGTGTAAGGAGGTGTTTCTTAGCCTTCCTGAAAATCCAGGCTTGTCTTTTTCAAGTCCCAGCTTCTGAGTGTGCTTGAATACTTTTTTTATGTATCCGTGCACACAAGCATGAATTTAATTCCCTGGTGGGTGACTGCCAAAATAGCCTTCCACCACCCCTGCTGCTGCAGTGCTGCAAGGAAATTCAGAGCTTAACCCTGGGGAACGGCGCGATGCTTGGCACAGGCTCAACACTGACGTTTCTGCCTGTTTTTCTGTGAGTGGTGCCTTGCCGAGGCGCAGAGGACAGATGTTTTGTGGCTGCACAGCCAGGTTAGCTTTGGGACCCAGGGATGGGTCCTGCCCTGAAGCTGCACCTTGGTTATTTCACCTGGACTTCATAAAATAAGGAATCAAAGCTCAAAAATGCAGGCTGGAGAGCTCCTCCTGTGCTTTTGTGCCCTGTCCATACTGGTTTGGTGCTCACTGTCAGTGCAATAGAGCAACTTGCCTGGGTAAATCAGACTTAGGATAGCAGCCCTGTGATTTTATGATGTCTGTATGATGAAATGCCATGCTCAGAGGCTGTGGTTCCACCTGGAGAACCCTGTGATGGGTAAAGGAAGACATTTATGATCACCGTATGTCTTTAGCAGCAGGGTTCCTTGCTCTTTTGCCATTTTTCCCCTCTACCAGCCACTGCGATGACTGGTTTTCACCTCACCCCTCCGACACTGAATTTAAAAGCGGCTTTCAATGTGCTGAAGGCAGCCCAGAGAGGATGCTGAGTGTTTGTTTCCTGTTTCTTGCTCTGTGTGGGCTTTTTGTCGGGTGGGCGGGGGGTTGCCTGGTGAGAAGTCAGTGGCTGGGCTTAGAACATTCACATTTTTTGCACTGAAGTTGGCAAACTGCAGAGGAGGGGCTCTCATCTCTAGGTTTCTCCTTGTATTCCAGATTTAGTATTGCCCTGAAAGGGCAGAGCAGACCTTTTATTGTTCCTGTCTGTTACAGTAGTGGAAGGCAGCACTGGCAGTCTCCTTGCTTTACCCATGCTTGCTTTCTTTTGTTCCAGATATCTGACAAGTACGATGTTCCTTTTGACAAAATAGGAAAGATCTTCAAAAAGTGTAAAAAAGGGTGAGTATGTACCCGTGCTGCAACTCTGAGAACACGAACACCTTTTTCCAAACCTGTAGGCAGATCTGCTTTAAATACCTCTCTGTGCACTGCTCATATGCAAATCCCACATCACAGAATCTTCAAGGTTGGAGAAGCCCTCCAAGTTCATCTGGTCCAACCATCCCCCTACCACCAATGTCACCACTAAACCATATCCCCAAGCACCACGTCCAACCTTTCCTTGAACCCCCAAGGGATGGTGACTCCACCACCTCTCTGGGCAACCCGTCCCAGTTTCTGACTGCTTTTTCTGAGAAGAAAGTGTGTGTGCACCGTGTGCTAATCCTATTCCAGCACACCTCATGGAGCAGGAGACTGGAAGGGTCTCACAGAAATAAGCACTCTGACTTTTCCTATAGAACCAAGTCATCAGACCTCTCAGATGTAATTGCCGTTTGAATCAGAGTTGATTGTGTCAGAGGAAGAAGAGTTCAGTTTGTTTACAGGCTCCCAGTGACAAGGAACCAACTTCAACCCCTGTTAAATTGCTCCAGTGTCTAGCTGTGCTCAGGGTGTCTCCATGTGGCTACAGTTACTAAACCCGCTCCTCTTTTTGTGCGCTACATTGAAGACAACTTGACTCGCAAAATACCTGCTCCCCACAAAGGCCAGGCTCCTTTTTATTTTGTAAGATAGTTGAGCTCATGAACATGCCTTTATTTTTCCCTTTAATCTTTCAGGAATTTTCTTGGTTCTTCTCTAAATCTTCTCTGAAGTCCCTTCAGTTTCTTAGCCTCTTCCCCCAAATCCCTCTGGTCAGAAAAATGAGTGCTTTTGGAACATGGTTTTGAGTGTTGTGCTTTCATAGCAGAATTACCGCAAGCCTGATTTTTATTTTTCCAGGATTCTGGTCAACATGGACGACAACATCGTGAAACACTACTCTAACGAAGACACCTTCCAGTTGCAGATTGAAGAGGTCGGGGGATCTTACAAGCTCACTCTCACCGAGATCTAAGATCGCTGAGCCTCTGGATTTTAACCAAAGGTCTCGAGTGAACATTTTCCCAGAATTTGGCGTGTTGGGTAAAACACTAATCACCTTCTCCAGGAGCCAGCCAGCTGCCGGCTCGTTCTGGGGATCACAGTGGTTTTGCCTAACACCTTTGTGTCTCTGCTCTTCCCAGAGAAGGTGGGAACGCTCATGGCCTTATTTGCACTTGAAATGAGCGAGCAGAGACCAGCAATTAAATAGAGAGCATGTATAAAACACTAGTAACTACGGGAGGGGAAAAAAAACCCTTGGAAGGTGGCCTTGTAGAGCGGTGATCCCTTATTTATCTCTTCAGTACCCACGTGGGAGCCTGTTCTCAGCTACTAGCCTTGTGTCGGCCTGTTTTCTGCTAGGTAGGGCTGCGAAACCGCTCCGTGACACCCGGAGGACTTGGGGCAGGTCGGAGAGAAGCCTTCGTGATGTTTACTCCTTAACAGGGCAGGTCGTTGGGGTCATTTTTTTTTTGTTTTTTTTTTTTTTTTGTTTGTTTGTTTTTTTGGAGGGGGGGGGAAGAACGTAAAAACTGCCTTGCTTATGAAGAACTCGCCTTAGTAACTGTGTGAACTCTCGTCAGATGAAGCTATATTGTATATAAGTGCAATATATTTTTGAAGGTTTGTAAATTTGTGTACATAGGAGTGATATATATAATATATATAAACCCTGCTCCTCGCCTACGTGCCGCCAATCTCTGCGACGAAGCCCAGCGAGAAGGAAGCCGCGTGCAGGGGACGCAGATATTGAACGGGGCTGTTTAAACCCGGACAAACCCTCACCCTCAGCCCCAGGGGAGCGTGTTTGGATGTTGGCGGAGCGCCCCGAGGGAGCTGGGGGCTGAGCATTAATGGGGTGCATCCTATGGGGCAGCTGGTAGCAGGGAGTGCCAGAAACCTCCCCAAAGTGCCATTGTGCCACATGTGTGCTTCTGAAGGAAGGGAAAGGCGCCCTCTGATCAGCAGTGAGTGAGGGACGCACAGGGGAGCGGCAGCACCGGGCTCTAGGGCAAAAACCCGCGTTATGGGGTGCCAAGTGAGCAGGGAAGGGCGAGCGCTGGGTCCTTGCCCCTCTGGTTTTCCTAGCAAGCGGGATTTACGATGGGTTTGTCATGTTTTTGGGCTGGGAAGGGCTGCATGTGCTTCGCCTAGGGCACAGAGGTTGCTCTGGCTAGGAAATCTGGCTGGGATATAGGGCTGCGAGACTGACACGGGTAGGGTTTGCTGCTTGGGGCAGGAGCAGAGCCTGTAGGAAACAGGAGAGCCGCCTTTTGCTCCACTTGGCACAGGGAAAGCCCCAGCTGGAGCCTCGGGCCAACAGAGCGCCAGGGAGTGGGCTTAAATCGCAGAAATTCAGGTTTACACACTCAGAAGGTTTTTTTTTTATATATATGTATTTTATTGTTATTATTTTATGACTTAAGACATGAGTGTTTTGGGGGTTGTGTTTGGGATCCCAAGCTGGGTCCTACACCGGGTGCCGTCTGCTCTCCTCTGCGCGGGTTGACGGCCACCACGTCCAGCACAAGGATGGATCCCGGGGGTCTGTGGGCCACAGGAGAGCAGCACGGTACTGTGGCCCTACAGATGATGGCCATGGCCCTATAGAGAACCACTGTGACCCCACAGAGAGCTCCTGCAGTGATCCCACAGAGCACTCGGCCTGGCACCGGACCTGCCCCTTGGGCTTCCCTTCACCTTCCGGGGAATGGAGTTATTATGGCAAGGGAACTTTTTTAAAGCTGATCTATAGATACAGAATATATATATTTACAGGTTTTTATCAAAAATGGAAGTTTTAGGGCCGAACCTCAGTAGCTGTGGCTGTGTAGAGGTAGGGTGTGGGGTTCACGGCTGCGAGCCCCAGCTTGATGCTTGTTTTCCACTGGGCCGTGGGTCTTGGAGCTGTAGCAGCGCTGCGGGGTGTGCGTTTCGCGGTCCCTCTGCTGTTTTGTAACTCGCCGTGTATTTCCCACCGCCCTATTAAATTTTATATGGTCCTTTCTAACGAGCAGCCCTTCATTCCACGGGGCTGGGACGTGGGGTGCTTGGGGGGCTGTGCAGAGCTCAGTAGGGCCGTGGGGGCAGCACCCCGGGCCCTGCCCCTTCCCACCAGCGGCTTTTTGGGGTACCCCCACCTCCAATGTCCCCAAAACTCCCCCAATTTAGGGCGCCCCACCCCACCCCCCCCCACCCCGCTGCCCACGTGCGGCGCGGCACGGAGCTGGCGGGGGCGGCCCCCAGGCCACGCCCCCTTCCCAGTGGCCACGCCCCCATCCCGTGGCCCCGCCCCTTGCGCCTAGGCCCCGCCCCCGACCTTTCCCCCAGTTTCCCGCTCCTCGCCCCGCCTCCCCCCCCTTCCCCCCCCCTCCCTCCCACGCGGCGCCCCCCCCGCCGCCAGCCCCGCGGCACGCCGCGATCACGCCGCCCGCCGCCTCCCATTGGCCGAGCGTGGGGCGCGCCGCGCGCTGATTGGCGGAGAGCCGCTCCCCGGGGGCGGGGCAGGGGAGGGGCGGGGGCGGGGTGGCCGCGCCGCGCCGTGCCGCCAGCCCGCTCACACCGCCGCCGCCCGCGGGGCCCGCGCCATGCACGGCTCGCCCGGCACGGGGATGGGCGATGCGGCCGCGGTGAGCGCCCGGCGGGGCTGGGGGAGGGAAGGGAGGGGAGCGGAGGGGCTGGGGGCTGGGGTACGGGGTGGGGGGGCAGCGGGGGGCAGCGCGGGCACGTGCTCGGCGGGGAGGGGACCGTTAGGTGGGGAGGGGGCGGAGGGGGTAGGGACATGAGGGGATATCGCGACCCTGAGGGGCTGGGGTCGTTTTCCTGAGGGGATATCGGGACCTGAGGGGCTGGGGTCGGGACCCTGAGGGGGCTACCGGGACCCTGAGGGGCTGGGGGCGGTAACCTGAAGGGATATCGGGACCCTGAGGGGATATCGGGGACCCTGAGGGGCTGGGGTCGTTATGCTGAGGGGATATCGCGACCCTGAGGGGATGGGGTCGGGATCCTGAGGAGATGTCGGGATCCTGAGGGGCTGAGGTCGTTATCCTGAGGGGATATCGCGACCCTGAGGGGATATCGGGACCTGAGGGGCTGGGGTCGTTATCCTGAGGGGGCTACCGGGACCCTGAGGGGCTGGGATCAGGATCCTGAGGCGATATCGGGACACTGAGGGGATATCGGGATACTGAGGGGCTGGGGGCGGTAACCTGAAGGGATATCGGGGACCCTGAGGGGGTTACCGGGACCCTGAGGGGCTGGGGTCGTTATGCTGAGGCGATATCGGTACCCTGAGGGGCTGGGGTCGTAATCCTGAGGGGATATCGGGACCCTGAGGAGATATCGGGGGTCCTGAGGGGATATCGGGACCCTGAGGGGGCTGAGGGGTGGTCTCCGGTGCCGCTGCCCTGAGGGGCGGTTGTGACCGTTACCCTGAGGGGCTGGGGGCGGCTGCGGCCGTTACCCTGAGGGGAGGCGGGGGCCCTGAGGGGAGAGGGGTCCCTGAGGGGATCCCGAGGGGCCGGGGCCGGCTCCCTGCGGGGCGAGGAGCCCCTGGGCCCCCCTGGGTGCCCCCCCCGGCCCCTCCCGGAGCCGCCGCCTCGCCCCCGGGCGGAGGAAGCGGCGGCGCCGCGGGGAGCAGCAGCAGCAGCAGGAGCAGGAGCAGCCCCCGCTTCCTGCCGCGGGGTGAGGCGAGGACAGGCGGGCCTGGCAGCGGGCACGGCGCGGCCGCGGGAAGCCCTGGCTTTATGTAATTATTATTTTATTTTGGAGCAGGGGAAGCCGTTCTCCTGAAATGTCGGCTAAAAAAAGCAATGAAATCATGAACTAAGCGCTGTGCTGGCTCGGCATTGCCGGCAGCTCGCCTGGCACCTCTTTGACAGGTGATGGGGGCTCACGCCCTGCGTCGTGCGCGCCCGCCTTCCACTTGACATTATTTTCAGTGGAGATGTTTGATTTCTTTTCCTGAGCACTCAACCCCTTGGCTTCCTAATTTAGAGAGCCTTAACCCCTCCCTGTCCCTAGCCTTCAGCCTCTGCGCTGGGTGCCTGGTGTTTTAGGTGAGAGCCCTGTGTGAGTGGCTCGCTCGCTGTTTCAGATCCATTTTGTTGGAAACATTTGTGTCTGTAGTGGCAACAGTGTCACACACACACATCTGTGTCCCTGTGACACCACTGAGCTTGTTACTTGAGTCAGTAACAAAGCTCCTGGCCTCCGGTCCAGTGCTGTCGCAGTGCTGTCATCCAAGGAGCAGGGCTCCGTGAAGGGTGTGATAACAACACAGAGGTTCTTATTTTTTAATTAAAAGCCCTTTTCAGTAGTGTACGAACACTGCATAGCAGCATGGGGCTTAAATATTTCGCTCTGCACTGCTGAAGTGCCTTTGCAAAGCGTGGTACCCTGAGCCAGAGATCAGCCCTCAGAGCATCTCACCGCCAGCCTGGAAGCTATGCCCTCAGTGAGGCAGGAACGAGATTAGTGCTAAATACCAGCAGTCCGTGGGGTCTGGGAGACAGCCCTGCCTCAACAAGGTTGGAAGGAGAATCCTTCTCTTTTTGCTGGTGTGCAGGCGAGGGGTGTGTTTATTCAGAGCAGTGTCATCCAGGAAAGTAGCCCTGGAAACCCAAGCTGCGTGTTACACATATCAATTCCTTTCCTGCAAGTCATTTATTTTATTCTCTTTTTTTAAAGAAGAGCAAGGGGGTGGGGAGGCGAGCTGGCAGGGGGAGGGGAAGAGTTGAGCCGCCTGGTAAAAGTCTTGCCGCGGGCCTGGGATCTGTTTCAGATGACCTTCATCGCCAGCAGACAGCGCGGGGGTGGCGGCAGCTTTGTCTGCGGACGCGTCCTAACAGCCGGTAATCCGATTGCCTTTAGGTTGACATTGTGGACATCTACGAGTCCATCCGAGAACGGCAGCGCCACGACAGCGAGAGGTCTTCCTGCGGCGCCTTGGAGCAGAATGACATCGAAGCCGTCGAAGCCCTTGTTTGCATGAGCTCCTGGGGGCAAAGATCGCAGAAGGGTGACCTATTAAAGATAAGACCCCTCACGCCCTTCTCGGACTCTGGCGATTTCACAATGCACGCCGAGGCTACTTCTGAGTTACCAAAGGATTATTTGTCCACGCTGGTAAGAGAAACGTGACTGCAGAATGAGCGTGTGATGGCTGGAAGTCCCATCCCTCTGATGGGAAAGATGCTCACCTTGCTTACATGTCCCTGCAGGGAATAGCCACAGCTTTCTGCTCTCTCTGGGTAGCAAATGTAGGGATGTGTGCAGGCAGTTTGGGTGCTGGCTGGAAGTTTCACAGGATCCCACAGCCCTGAGGTGTGCAGGGACCTGAGGAGGCCCCAGCCCAGCCCCTGCTCCAGCAGGGCCACCCAGAGCAGGGTGCCCAGCACCACGGCCAGGCGGCCTCGGAGGAGACCCCACCGCCTCTCTGGGCAGCCTGGGCGGTGGAAAAACGCGCTTCCTGCCTCTGGGAGGCTTTGCAGTAAGAAAGGCAGAACCAGCCGCGGTGATTCAGCGCTGACTTAGCTGGAAGTGCTTTAGGAAAAAGGCTCCTGACGACATTTGGCTTTGCTCTCATTGCTCTAAGAGAAAGCACAGGTTCCCATTATGAAACGGGGATTTTAATTAGCTTTATGCTGTGTTTCTACATGCAGCCTGCTGTTTCTCCAGAGCATTGGCCTACTCTGGCTGACTAATGTCAGCTGAATCACTTTTTTTGTTGTTGTTGCAATTTGTGTTGCAATAAACGTAGATAAAAAAGCAAAACAACAACAGCAAAAAAGGCAACCCTCTGTGCCATCGGGGTTTTAGAAGGCCCTATTTCAGCTGGTAGACTTCTTAGGTCAGAAGAAAGGAACAGCAGAGGAAAAAAGGCTGAGGTGGCACCGCAGCTGGCCGCTGGGCTGCTCCTCTCTGGCTCCTGGCACTCAGGATTGGAACTGTCTCTTGAGCAGCACAGGAGCCAGGCGTGGGCTGAGTTTTTGGTATTAAAGGAGGAAGGCGAGGTGGTGGCAGCAAGAGCCCAGAGGGAAAGGAGTAGGTGAGGGGAGAGAGCAGTCTGTGTGTGTTTATCCTACTGCCCTGCCAGCTGGTGGGGGATTATTATTAAAAGACTGAGGCCTTGCTGGAAGGTAGCAGTTTAAACGGTACAGGATTGCTGTCACTGCTCTGCTTGCTGCGAACAGCAGAGCCCTCGTAGCCTCTTAGAGCTGCTCCTGTTGCTGAGGAGGAGAAACCAGAGGGTTTTTGTAAGGCAGTGAGTAGACGTGGAACAGTCATACACAGCTTTACAGTCTGCCTCATTGCATTCCTGTTATTAGACTGCTTTTACGCCTGTTCCCAGTGGCCATCAGGTGAAGCAACGCACGCTTTAACTGCTTTCCCCAGCAAGCAGGCTCTGACATTCTGGGGAGGGGGCCAAATTTTCTTTTTGCTTTAAAAACCGTAGAAAACCGCGCTGTGAAGCTGCAGCGTTGTGTAACGGCGCTCTCTTTGTGCAGTGCATGACCCCGCCGCACAGCCCGGACTTCGTGGAGATGTCGGCCGCGATGCTCCTCTCCTCGCAGCTCACTTACTCCAAGCCGAGGACTGTCATGGCAAACACGGCCTCCTGCTCGCTCACCTCCACCACCGCCGCGTCCCCCGTGAGCAAACCATCAGTGATAAGCGTGGAGAGCCGCGGGGCCGAGCCCGCTGCACCGCAGCCGTGCCGGGCCATGGCCACGAGCGTGATCCGCCACACGGGCGACAGCTCGGCCTGCCTCCGCCTCGAGAAGGCAGCCGAGTGGTGCGGGGCAGCCGAGCGAAGACACTGCAGAGCGCCCCAGGACGCGTGCGCTGCCGCCGACGTCCTCAGCAAAACCTCCCCGGAGCATCCGCCCCACGCACATGACTGCGATGACCCCACCACCGATAAAGGGCAGCTTCCAGCCCGCCCCGCTTCGCCGCAGCCCCACGTGGCAAAGAACTGTGACAGGGACTTGCAGAAAAGAGCCACCCCGGTGCCGCCCGTCCCCGTGTCGAGCCCCCAGGTCGTGTGTCAGATCTCCGTCCCCTTGAGCAGACAGAGCAGCATGATCAATGCTTACGTCAAGCCTCCTGCTCCAGCGGTCTCGACTCCGATGAAACCCATCCTCCCGCAGACGGCCCCGCTTTCCCAGCCCGTGCTCATGGGACCTTCCGTGCCTCAGGGGACCGTCATGTTGGTTCTCCCCCAGCCTGCTGTCCCGCAGGCACCGCCGTGCCCGCAAACGGTCGTGACCGTGGGGAGCACCAAGTTACTGCCCCTTGCTCCAGCCCCCGTGTTCATCGCTTCTGGGCAAAGCTGCACCCCCCAGATGGACTTTTCTAGGCGGAGGAACTACGTTTGCAACTTCCCGGGCTGCAAGAAAACCTATTTCAAGAGTTCCCACCTCAAAGCCCACCTCCGCACCCACACGGGTGCGTACCGGGGGGATGAGCCCTGCCTTCGGGGTGCCGAAATGCACAGCTCCTCCGGGAGGGGTGGGAAGGGGAAGGGGCAGGTGATCGGGAATCTTGTGCTCCTCTCGGAGAAGAGAAGAATGCTCGTTCTTCACGGGCGGGCAAAACAAGCCAGACTTTGTTCGGAGACCTCAGCTGACCCCGTAGCGTTAGCTGGCTTTCGCGTGCTGTAGTTGGAGCGAAGCGCAGCCCGCTGCGTGCGTGTGTGTGGATCGGGGTGGATCTCTGCCACCTGGACTAGGCTGAAGGGGATTGTGCAAGCTTTTGTTTTGAGCGTGGAGGGATCTCCCAGCTCCAGTGCAGGCGGTTGCCATTCGGTTTTGTAAAGTAAAAGGAAAGAGAGAAAGTCAAATGCTGCACGTTTTCCTAGAGCTTTGCCTAGGCTAAAGGGGTGTGCGTTAAGGTTTTGGGCTACTGTGCTGGGAGGCAGCGCTGCTGCAGGAATCTAACTGTTTTCACTTACTTCCAGAACTTCCTTTGTGTAAGTAAATGGAAGTTAATTACAATTAATAAGCGCTAATTTGCTCTGTAACACCTGGTTAGCGTGGAGGCAGTATAAATGTATTTTACTTACCCTTTTTCTAGCTCAGAGCTTCTATTACAACTAACTTCTGAGCTCTTGGAAGGGACTATTTTTGGTGTTGAAGGCCTAGGATAGCAGATTATTGGTATAGAACAGCTCATTTAAACATTTGTCTAGTTTTTTCCTTGCCTTACTTCCCCCACCCTCTGGTTTATTAGAAGGCAGCTTCCATGGCAAGGCTTCCCAGCAGTTCGCCAGCTTGTCCGGACAGTTCCTCTGGGAAAAGAGCTTAAACTCTGTGTGAAGCCGATAATCCGTGCAAAGCAGAGCTCGGCTGCTTCCGTGCGGGTTTGAGGGAAGCGCTGCAGGCTGGTGAGTGAACCTGGTGCTGCGGGACAGCCACGGGCTGGCAGCAGGTGTCTGCTGAGCCCAGAGCATTGCTGATCCGCAGGGAAGCCAGCCTGCTGCACAGCACCAGTGGGCAGAGCAGCTTCAGCTTGCTCCTGCTTCATCCCGCTCATTCAGCTGCCACCACGCTCACCCAGTGCAGAGCTTCCCCCCTGCAATGAGGACAGAGCTGCTGCGGTGCATCCTTCCTCCGGCTCTTGTTCTGCTCCAAAAGGGATGCCGTAAATCTGGTCATGCGGTAGATGTTTATCTGGAGCTCTGCGGGTCATGTTGCTTGGGACGGTTCCGATGTAAAGCAGGCACTGAGGTGACGCTGAAAGCCTTCCTGGCTGCTTTCAGTGCCTGGCAGCCAGAAATGCCAGCGGTGTCTGGGCACGCAGGCGTGGAGGATGTTCCTTGGTACCCCACGTGGGTATGCAGGAGCTAGAGCGCTTCGGCAGGTCTGGGAGGTTGGATTCCAGGTTCCTTCTTGCCCACAATATTTGCTGATGTCGTGTAGTGGTCACGGAGCTGTGGCCACGTAGGAGGGACGGGCTCAGAGGGATTTGCTTCTGGTTTAGTCGATAGATAATGTTGCTTTGTGAAGAATCATTTTTCTTTAAACTGGGTTTTGGACAACTAAAAAAAATAGGCTTGATTAAAGGTCATTAGAATAGATGTGAGGAAATAAAAATCATTGGTCTTGTTTCTGCTTATCTCTGAAACTGGAATTAAGCTTCCACTTCAGCAAATGGTGACTTCATGCATGAGCAGTTCAGGGAAAAAGGTCAGAATTTTTTTTAGGCTAGAACTTATAAGTTAGTTCTTCGATGAAATGGAGCATAATGACAACAAGTTGTGTTTCTTTCGTGTCCTGCAGGAGAAAAGCCTTTCAGCTGCAACTGGGAAGGCTGCGACAAGAAGTTTGCCCGCTCGGACGAACTGTCCCGCCACCGCCGAACTCACACGGGGGAGAAGAAGTTCGCCTGCCCCGTGTGCGAGCGCCGCTTCATGCGCAGCGACCACCTGACGAAGCACACCCGCCGCCACATGACCACGAAGAAGGTGCCCAGCTGGCAGACAGAGGTTGGCAAACTGAACAGAATCGCCACGGTGGAGAAACCCAAAAGCAGCAGCAGCAGCAGCGCTCTCGGTATGCTCATCCCCAGTGCCGCCAGCTGTCTGCCAGGGCTAGCCTGAGAGCGCGCCTCTTCCTCCAGCTTCCTGAAAATCGGGAAGGGCTCTGCTGGCTGCGAGAGAACTGACAACGCAACCCTCCTCCCCCAGCGTGTCTGTGCACACTTCAGCTTCCTTCTTTTTAGGTCCTCGGTTATTAATGCGATGTGAGAAATATGGCCTGTGTTTCCTCATCCCTTCCCTACGTGTTGTTTTTTTTTTCCATTTTGGGGCAAATGCAATCACCAGCACTTCAGGAAAGCAGAACTCTTTTTGAAATGATTTCGGTAATAGGTTCAAAAAGTCACTTGTAATGCTTGCTGTTAATATTCCGATGGACAGTGAAACAGGGTGATTTTTAATTTTTATACTAGTGTTTTCTATACCAAATATATTTTGTATTTATTCATTTTGGTCTTGGTATGCAGGCAATTACTTGGCCTGCATTAGTAGGGGTGTGCAGGATGAGACCCAGGGCTTTGGAAACTTTTTCAGGTAGCCTAAAGAAACGCATTCAGAGCATTTTGTGAACGCATAATGTTTCAAAACTCAGTGTTTGGGGTTTTAACGCTTCGGGATCCCGATCCTGCAGCGGGCTGGTGCTGTTACACCCTCCTTGTGCAGGTGGCACTGGAGGTTTGAGATTCTGAGATCTGTGTGTGGCATTGTTTCAAAACACAACAGAACGATTGCAGAATAAAAGCCTTGAGGATTCCAACCTCAGCCAAGCTCGTACCCTTTGTGAGTGGGGGGTGCTGTGACTTCTGGTAAAGCCCGAGGTGCTGGGCATTCCCGGGTCCATGCTCCACCTCAGCAAAGTTTGGAGGAGCCAGGCTGTTCTGCTGGAGCTGCTCCAGGGGAGGTACGAATACTGTTGAGCAGCCTTGACACTAAAAACGATCCTTTTGGTCCCATTAAACCAGCATATCAAAATCTACTGAAAACATGCAAAAAGGGCAAGATAACCTGTGAATAATTCGCTGGGTCTCGGGGTTTTTTTTTTTGAACACAGGAGAAATGAGAAATTAAGTTTTTTATGTCTTGTGGATGCTTATGCACCTTATAGGAAACTCTTCCAGGCTTTCATTTACCCGTATCGAAGCACCAGAGGAAATACTAATCATGTCTTAACTTAAAAAACCAGCCACCGTGTCAACCCGATGATGCTCTCTATGTGGCCTTATACTCCCCCCCGTACTTTGTATGAAATCACCCTTTTCTATTAAATGAAATACTCTCCCCGCTGCATGGATTTTCTTTTACACGGGCTGCAAATGTGACCGGGGAGGGAAATCTCTGTTCTTACCCGTAAGCGTAGGGCTGGAGCCTGTGCTGGGTGCTCTGGAGCTCTGTGCCTCACCTAAAAACATCCACGCCCTGCTCTCGTCGCGCCGCAATCCCCCTGGCTGGCCTACGTGCCGCGCAGCGTGTGCACGTGCAGGCCTGCTTTGTGCTCCACGGGGCTCGGCCCAAAACGTGCTCAGGCGCCCTGAATGCCTGCAGTGTTACCCTTCGGGGGCAGTGTCCCCTTTGCCACGTTAGTGTGGTGAAAAATGAGAGAATTCCTCTCTTTTTTTGCTCTGAAGTTCCCTAGAACAAGAGGTTTGATTTTTAGATGCTGCTTTAGCGTGCCTATAACGGGGGAGGACTGTCCTGTCTCGATCTGATAGCCAATTTAGTACTTTGTGTGTGGCTTTGTTTGCTTTTTTTCCCCCAAAACCAACCATTTTTGGTGTCCGCCTGAGCAAACTGGCTTGGGAACTCCCTCCGTAATTTAACACAAGGTTGTGTTAGGCTGTGGCATCACGGGGAAGACCCGATGGGCTGGCCATACAAAATTTCCTGGCGGGTGTGGGAACACAGAGGCAGCTCTTCCTCCTGCAGATGTGCGCGGAGGGGTGGCTGGGCATTTTTGTATGTATCTTTTTTAAATTCCTATTAAAAAAACTATGTAATATGACCACTTTTAAATCATAAAAAAGTGAAATTTCAGGTTTCCTATAAATATATGTTCCAGAACTGTGTAAAGACATCCGAATAGGTTATATATCCAGGCCAGGGGAAGACTTCAGGGCTCGCTGCTTCACTTGCCCTCAAGCGCAGCCTTTTTTTATTTTTGTAATTGTTTACATTTGTAAGCGCCTCCGGCTGCCTCCCAGGTTAGGGCAGCGTTTATTTCTGGCTGCTACGTTTTGAGATGGCAGCGGCGTGGGAACAGGAGGGGGCACGGAAGGGAACGGGAGGCGAGAGGAGGCGAGGCGCTGCTGCCGGCGCTGTCCCAACTGCTGGCTGCGGCTGTGAAAAGGCAAACAGAGGTGGAAAACAGCAAATGGTGACTCAAAAAGTGGCACCATCGACTGGAGACGTTTTCTGAACAGCTTATTTGCCTTTATTGAGAGTTATGCAGAATACAGATCCGCTTCTTTCCCTTACACAGATTTCAGGAACGACAAAGAAGCCAAAATACAGCTGCGCCCTGCTGTTTCCCCTTGCGCTTGCACACGCTTTGTGCAGATTTCATCTGGCACCTTTTACAGTTCAGCTGAAGGCAGAAATAAGGTACTTTTCTACTGCCTGATAATAAGCAGCTACTCATAGCACATTAAGATGCAGGCAAAACAGAGGCAGAAACCCTAAAATACCAGGCTTCCCTGTCAGGGAAGTGCTGAAAACATACGATTTTCCGTGGCGATCCAGCCTTTCTGATGCAGCTAATGATAAATTGTAGTGATTTTTCTTCTAGACTAGCTACGGAGGAGAAGAAACGCACGGGCAGGCCAGGGGCGATGGCTGAGAACGGGTGGCAACGAGCTGCTCTGCAAGGCCCTCTCTGAGCAGATGGCCATGGCGAGGTGGCCCTGGGGACGTGTCTCCTGCTGGGACTGGGGGGGAAAGCCCTTGTGCTGCGGGTACAGCACCCACACTGCCAGGACAACAAAAAAAATAAGGTTTTCCTTCAAAGCACCATCTCAGCAGAGCTCTAGTACGCCTTCGTTGGGAAATATGGTTTTCTTCAGGTCATCCTCCGTGTCTCCGGAGCAGTTGCGCTGCCTCTCGCCCATCCTCTCCTTCTTCCATCCTCTTCCTCCTCCTCCTCCTCCTCTTCCTCCTGGCTGTGGCCTGTTGGCAGCAGCTTCCTGCCCCCCGCTTTGGGCTCAGCGGCCGTACTCCCGCTCGATGCTGGCCATCAGCTCCTCCTCTGCGCAGTCGTAGGACACGGCCGGGCACCCCGCCGGCTGCTTGCTGCTCCCTCCTGGGCACCTGCTGGTGAAGGGCAGGAGTTACTGCGGGCATGAGGGGGAGCCCAGCTCCGAAGACACAAAAAGACACTGATTTCATCTTGTTGTGAATAGAAAAGTCGCGATGCAAGTGGCTCGCTGAGACAGAGATACTCTAACGCATCAGATTTCCAGCTCTGGCTGACGTTTGCTAACACTTGGCATCTATTTCAGCCGGTGAGTTCATGAAAGTGAAGCCCTCGCAATGCTGCACCTCATACTCCCGTAACCCCATAACCCTCTGGTGAATTATGGCCAGCTAAAGCTCGCCATAACCTTTACACCAGTTCCTCGCCTCGAGGCTTTCTGCAGAAAGGTGTTGGGACTATTTTCTGTTTGTTTATTTCAGGATTTGCCTGCCCTCTGGCTTCCACCCCTTTCGATAGCGCTGGACATTACCTGTAGGAACGGCTTGCGTTTCCCCAGGTCTGGTATTCTGCACTTCTGCTTTGGAGATGTGTAAGATAAAAGGTGGTTTTATTTGTCCGGGCTCTCATGGGCCTGAACAACCCCCTCCAGGTTTGGTCTCTGCGTGTGGGCTCTGCTGGGCCCACGATTCACTGGGAGGAGCTCAGGTATTAACACATCTTCATAGACCTGCAGCTCGGTGCGTCTGCTTTGTGCCCTCCAGGAACAGGTAAGCGAGAAATGAATGGTTTTGTAGGGCAGTCGGTTGGTTACCAAAATAAGGTTTTCATATCTGATGGCATGGCTCTAGCTCTATCACCATCAGTATCTGTGGGTCTAAGGATGAGCTCCATCTCATCCTTGGCTTGGGTGAATTTGGTGTTAGCATCCCTTGGGGAAAAAGACTGAGAACCCTGGTTATGGGATGAGAGCTGCCCCAAAGCAGGTAAGCGTGGAATGAGAATTGAAGGAAAATGCCCTGAATTGAAGGAAAGTGCCCTGAACTGAAGGAAAATGCCCTGAACTGCTTTTCCAAGGAACCTTTCTCATATCTGGGAGCTGCTTTCACAAACCCACAGCCATCTTTGGCAGCCAGGGGTGGTTCTCCTTGGGCACAGGGGTGTCTGTAATGTTTCTGAAGCAGGCACTTGCCCGTTGGAGCAAACTGCACGGAGGCAGCTGCACCTTTTAAGACAAAAAGCCCAGCTGGCCCGGCCTGGCAGTGCTCGTGCCATGCCCTGTGCATGTCAGGAATAGTTTGATGTTTTCCCGGGAGCCACCTGGCCCCCAGCTGGCGTGGCGGCCGCATCATGTGGGCCTGGGGCTATGGACATTGCACCCTGCCCTCGGCTGCAGCTTCTCCTGGCAGCTCCCGAGGAGGATTTAGCCAGCGGGCTCTGCTGAGCCTTCCTTTTCTTCCTTTCTCCTCTCCTGAAGGGCTGTGAGCTCTCTGGTTTCTGCTGCAGCAGCGAATAAGGGAGGAAAGCTGGCAGCCAGTGCCCACGAGCCAACAGCTGCAAAGCAAATTCTTTTGAATTTGAAAGAATCGGGAAAAGGAAATGGAGCAACCCGACTTAAACACCCAGCTGGCACCTGATTTATTGATATAAACCCTGCGCTGGGACAGTCCTCCACCTAATTTCACGTTAGGTGAGGGGTCAGAGGCAGAGCTCTTGTCAGCTCACTCACGGACCCACAGAAGAGCCATTGTTTCTCCTAACGACTGCTAATTCCTCACTGTTAATTATTCTTCATCCCCTGGCCTGGCTGGTGACCCCCGAGCATTAAAAAGTCTCCGGGTAAAATTCAAGCTGGGTGAAATATGTGTTTTTAGGAAGGCAAAAGCAAAGCCCACTGCCACGCAGGCCCCGGAACTGAGTGGGATAAAGGGGGCAGTGTTCACTTCATGAGCAAGGCCCTGCTCGAGTGGGCAATCTCTGCTATTGTGGCAAATCTATCTGCCGTTTAATTTGGAGAAATGGCAGTAAGTCCAAAAAAAGAGTGGCTCCATCTGCTTCAAAAGAGAAACTTCTCCACCCTGAGGAGTGCAGGCCTCAGAGGTTGTCAGGGCCTGGCCGCACGGAGGCCTGAGCGTGGCTCCAAGCCAGAGCATGGGCAAGGGACTTCACGAGGCCCTCCCAGCCCCATCCTTCATCTCAGGGGCTTGTTAAACAAAGTCTGGATTTGATTTCGGGAGCCCCAGCACACCCTGCATCTCCGGGAGTGTCTTCAGAGAGGGCTAAGGCAGGAGGGACGCCACCACGTCGAGGCGCTGCCTGCTGAACCCAGCCAAGGGCTCTGAGACTTCCCGGCTCAGAAACCAGCAGGTCAGGACGTCGAGGGCAAAAATATTCAAGATCTGGCTGTTTTGGGGCAGGGAGAGAGCTGAGAAGGAGCAGTGCTGGGAGGAGAAGAGCCTGGTGGGACAGCAAAGGAAAACAGGCCAAGGCAACCCATCAGGATGTCTCTGGGTATCTGAGTGCTAAAAAGTTATTAACAGCTTGGAGGGAGTTAAAAAAGCAGCAGTAAGGATGATTTTAGAGGCCAAAGCAAAGCAATTAAGGCAGGAGGAAAGCAAGATGTGTGGTCCCGTCCAGAGTTGGGAAGGCCCAGAGTCACAGGATGGCCGTGGCTGAAGGGACCTCCAGAGGTCAGCCAAGTTAATCAAGTCAGCCCCAGTGCTATGCCTGGAAATGAGGTGGGATGAATCCAGGCCACGGGTTTTTATCATTCTGCTGAGGACGGGCAAGTCCGGGATTAATCATTACAATGCCTTCTGCAAGACCTCATGGCTGGGAAATGGGTCAAAGCCACGGCTGGGCAACTCTGCTCGTGACACGGGGCTTAGGAGCAATTAGAAAATCATTATAACGATCCTGGGCCGTGTCATCCGACCTGTGCACTGCCACGCTTAATGGGGTCCCACGTGAATTTTTGCAGTCCGTGCCCACCTCCAGCACCCACCAGGGGTGCCTGCTCTCCTGGCCGTGGTTCTGCAGGGTCTCCTTTTTGCTCCCCAATCAACATTTATTTCTTTAATTGGTTGTGCAGGAATTCCTTCGGGAAGGGAAGGGAAGGGAAGGGAAGGGAAGGGAAGGGAAGGGAAGGGAAGGGAAGGGAAGGGAAGGGAAGGGAAGGGAAGGGAAGGGAAGGGAAGGGAAGGGAAGGGAAGGGAAGGGAAGGGAAGGGAAGGGAAGGGAAGGGAAGGGAAGGGAAGGGAAGGGAAGGGAAGGGAAGGGAAGGGAAGGGAAGGGAAGGACTCACTCATTGCTGACGTTGTTGTTCTCTGTGTCGGGCGGGCTTCCAGGTAACACAGCCTTGAAGAGAACAAACATCAGGTACCTCAGTGGCAACATCTGGGAGCTGTGTTCAGCTCTAGGAGGTTGTTCTTACACCCCAAACAACCTCTGTGAAGATGACAGAGGTGCAAGAGCATCCCTATAGCAGCAACAGTCCTGCTGGCTCTCCTTCAGCTTTCTGGGCACCCGGCTGGCTGCCGAAGCCACCATGTGTTACGTGCCAGGCACAGCCCCAAAGCCAGGATTTGGTGCCTGGAAACAGCTCCTGGGGCTGGCTGCACGAGCTGATGGCCAGCAAAGAGCTCCCTTCTGGTCACGGAGCATCACCTCCCAGCAGCCTCCCACTGCCAACAAAATGTTCCACATCCTGGAGCATGCCGCATCCTCCTCATCCTCATCCTACTCCTTGTCCCCACCAGGATGCCGCTGCCCCAAATCACCCTGCACAGGGTTTTCAGCCCTTTCCGCCATGGGACCCCTCCTTCCTACACTGCGGGTGGGTTTGGCTCATGCTTTGCTGCCTTTTTCCCCCCCCTTTTTTTGGCTGACTGCTGCACGTTACGAGCCGTACGTGTCGTGTGGGTGGAAGGCAGAATTAATTACTCATCGGGACAGAGCGGCAAGATCTGCTTCCCTCTGCAAAACCCGCTCCCACCTTCTCCCCGGGATCCGTCAGCACCGAGGCTTCTTTCCCAGGAAAGTGGGAGCATCAAAAGCAGCCCGCTGGCCCTGCTGGCACGGCAGGCAGCACCCTCCAGCGACGCGAGAAATGCTGTGGGTGGCCAAACAGCACCTCGGGAACAAAATCCAGGGGCAATGGGTACGGGAGGGAAAGGACGGGCCCCTCTCTGCTCCATCCGCCGGCTGGGAACCCGTGCACAGTGCTCGGTTTGGGTCAGGGGTGGTGGCGGGATCAAAGTGACCCGTGCTGTGTCTGGACTCGGGGGTTGGGACACGCTTTTTGGCCATGAATAAAAGCAGGAAGGAAAGGCAGAGATAAATTGCGAGATCTGGGCGATCAGATTTCTGCGGCCGGAGGCCTGGTTTGGCGAGGGCAGGAAACCGCATCTGCCGTCGGCTGGGGGCGTCCGGCAGCAGGGTGATGCACTGAGGGGTGGAAAACGCCTTGTTTGGGCTGAATAAACCAGCTTTTGGGACTTAACCAGGGCTTTGGAGACATGCTGCACCCCAGCAGAAGATGGTTAACGCAGGCTCTGCCTGTGTCACTGCAGCACCGCGGCTGGGCGGTGGATTGCTGCCCTCCTCTCCTCACCCCACATCTCCTCCTGCCCCCCAGCTCACAAACCTCCCCGTGGGAAGGGTGGGACGGCGGCTTGCACAACACCCTAAATCCTAACTAAATCCTAACTAAATCCTAAACTGCATCCTGCGAGCAGGCACGGAGCCCGTGGGGCTGCTGCCCGGGAGGGACCACGGCCACCTCGGCGCAGGCAGGAGCCCAGCTCTGCCCTGCAAACCTCCCCCTGATGGTACGAGCTCTCTCCTTTTGCTATTCCCAAGGCTTCCTTTCTTTCAGTTTTGTTTTGTTTTGTTTTGTTTTTTCCTTTAAGACTCGCATAAAACTGCTTTTTGTGCTTGCCGAGCCTCCCGCTCGCCGACTGGGTTTGCGTGCAAATCGTCGCCGTGCCACGGGCATGCGGTTCGGTCATAGAAAAAAAGCAAAACAACTAAAAGTATCGCATCCTAAATACTTATTTCTGTCAGTAAATCATGGAATCATACGATCTTTTTAGGTTGGAACAGACCCTAAAGACCAGCAAGCCCAGCACAGCCAGTCCCACCACTATACCACGTCCCTAAGCCCCGTTCGCCCCTCTCAGGACCCCCAGTGGGAACGTTTTTTTTTTTTTCCCTTACAACCAGGACGCATCTCCCACAACAACTTCCAGCGAAGACGAACCATGCCAGCAATTTTTGGCCCCAGCTATAGGAACACAGGGGACCCACACAGATCGTGGAGCCCAGCTGCACACGGGGCCACCCCAAAAGCAGACCCTGTGTCTGACAGCGTTGCCCAAACCCTTCTTAATCCCTGTGGGTCCCTTCCAGCTCGGACACTTCACTATTTCTAAACCCCGCGGCGATTTCCGAGCAAGGGGAAAGAAAACAAATCTCTGCTTTTCCCCTCCCCGGAGGAAAATCCAGGAAACGGAGCAGTTCCTGAACCAGCTGCAGCGGCCGGGAACCATTTGGGGCCGGTTCCCTTTGGGGTAATGCAAACCCTATTTATATTTGGGGGCTTGCCGAGGAAACAACGGGGACGAGGAGCAACTCGGGGTAACACCGAGCCCCCAAGGGGGGCTGCGACGACCCTTGGGGTTTGAGGGGGAGAGGATTTGGGGTCGCTGAGGGGCCCGGGGGGGGCACTTACCTCCCTCGGGGGGCTGCCGGGGGTGGGCAGCGCCGCCGCCCCCTCGCCCCCCGCCGCCGCCTCCGCCGGGCTCGGGGTCGCCCCCGGCCCTCGGGGGTCGCCTCCGCCGCCTCCCCCCGTGGCCACCGGGCCCCGGCGGCGGCTGCTGCCGCTGCCCATGGGCTCGGGGAGCGGAGCCGGGGCCGGCTGAAGGCTGGGGCCGGCCCCCGGGGCAGGCGGAGGGGGGCGAGGGGGCGGTCAAGAGGCGAGGGGGGGAGCGGCGCCGGGCGGGGAAGGAGCCCCCGGGGAGGCCGGGAGGAGGGGGAGAGAATGGGGAAAATGGGGGAAGGGGGGATATGGGGGAGCCTTGCTGTCTTATCTGCCCTCTCTCCCTTTTCCCTAGGGGTCCAGGGGGTGGTCTCTATTCGGGGAGGGTCCCCGGAGGCTGCCACAGCCCCGAGAGCAGCCACGGGTTGGGATCAGCCCTTCTGGGGGTGTCCCCCAAAGCCTCCCCAAAATGGGGGAGCCAGGAGGGCGACACATTTACGGATCACTCCTGCGAGACCCCCAGCCACAGCAGGGGACCCTGGGGGGGTTTTGGAAACTCAGGGTGCCCAGCACCATGTCCAGGGCTGGTGACACGCTCCAGGTGACAGAGGGGATGCTCTGGGCACGGTCCCGAGCGGTGGCACTGCCTTCAGGGCCTGGCCACCAGCACAGCTCCCGGCTCCCTGCAGGCCTGGAGCCTCCTGGAAAGTTTCCTGGCGGCCCCGATGGAAAAAAAATTCCCTGCCTGCGCACAGCCTGCGTCCCACGGCCAGCTGAGCCTGTCGGGTTTGGGAGCAGCTGGGGACAGGGAGTGTTGGGTCAGCAGCGACCCCAAATGCTGCCGGGGTTTATCCGGGAGGCCAGGAGATGTTTCCCTGCTGCAAAGTCTGCCGGGGACTAAAGTGAAGATATTCAGAAAGTTAAAAGCCTGGTAAGGCCATGAATTCGCAGGAAAAGCAGCAAAAATCGGCTATCAAATCCCTTTTTATTTTATTTTGATTTTTTTTTTTTCTGGTGGCTTTAAGCACGGTTTCCCAGCAGGGCCGGTGTTTAGCATCCTGGCTGATCTTCAGGAGCGAGGGCTGGCAGCTGCGGGTGGCACCCAGCCAGCGGCCGGGACACGGCCTCGGGGGAGGCAGCGGCTCCGGGGCCCTGCTGGGGGCTGCTGCTGCCACAGATTTTAACATCGCTGTTATCCAGCAAAGCCACGAGGGCTGGTTTGCCCCGTTGGGGTATTTGCTGGGCTTTGCTGGACTTCCGAAATCAATGGTTGAAGCAGAGTTGAGAGGTGCAATTGTCTGGGCCAAATCTCCCTTTCTGATCATATTTTCAGGTTGCTCATTCCCTGAATATGAGAATAAAAAGGAGAATAAAAGAGAATGACTGTCCTGACCCGTGTCCAAAAATGATGACGGCAGCTGGAGAGCAAGGAGGGATGACAGGGCACGGCGGGGTGCCAGCGGTCACGATCCCTATTGCAAACAAGGAGTGTGCTTGCTGGGTGAACTAGCAGCTCCTCTCACCATGATAACCAAAACAGGGCCGGGGAACTCTGCTTTCTCATGTTGTCTTCCCACCAGAGCTTTTCCAGGGCACTACAGGTAGCACGTTGAGCAAGCTGACCTTGTGACAAGAAGCATTACGCTGCATGTTTTGGTTCTGCCTTCTTTTCTGACACTGGATTTTCTACAAATCTTCAACAGATAAATTCCCTCAGCATAAGAGCAGCGGAACAAAAAGGATTTAAACCCAAAGTTAATGTATATATCATGTCAGATCTGCTCTCTGCAGAGCCATCGGGAAAACCTCAATCTGTCCCACTGCGAACTGCGGGGCTGGTGTCACCCTTCGGTGAGCAGGTTTATTTATTAATCTGCCTGTCTAGCATTAACTCGTGTGCAGCAAGGAAATGTGTGCATTGCTCAAATCGGAGCCTGCCTCTACCACGCAACGGGACCGCTAGCCTGGCCTTCAATTCCTTTTCCCTGATGTAGTCTTCACCTGGGTTTGCTACAGTTCTGGCACCAAACCTGCAAAAATAAAAATTAAAAAAATACAGTTGTGATGGTTCTTCAGGCTCTGATGTGGGGATCTCACATCCTGTGCCTCTAAGCCCCAAGAAAAAAAATATCCGTGAGGTGGAGGCTGGTGGGACACAGAGAGGAGAGGTCCTGGGACGGATGGTGGGAGCTGTGGGTTGGTGCCCCCAGCCCTGCCCCATCCCTGGGGACAGCAGGGCTCAAGCAGCTGCTGGGCATCCCCTGAATCAGCTGAGATGGTCTGGAAAGGTGGGAGGAAAATATGAGCCTACAAGGTGGGTGTTTTCCAGCAGGGGAGGCCGGTTCCCTTGTTGAGGAGCTGTCCCACAGCAGGATGGAGCCCAGGACACGCTGGAGGCTGCCCCTGTGTAATTAGCGGAGCTGGGCTTTGGCTCAGGACTGGGGTTTGACTCATCAGAAAACCTGCTGAGAACACGTATTTAAATAAATAAACATAAAAGCCTATTTTTAAGAGTTGTCCTTTCAACACCTCTCGGATTTCGCTGCACCCTGAGCACTGTCAGGAAAAGATTTCCCTTCCTGCAGCCCACGGGTTAAGGGCAGGGCCCTGCTTTGCCCAGAAGTCCCGGCCCAGGGAAGGGTTATGTTTTATGGCTTTCACCACCATGTCCTTGTGCATTTTTCCTGTTGGTACCGCAGAAGGCTGTGCCACGGGAGAGCTTCTGCCACCAGCTGCTGTGGGGTGCGTGTGCTGGCCCTGCTCCCTGAGCCGAGGAGCTCCAGAGGCCTGTGGGTGTATGGAAACACCAAGCGCTGGGCCTGGGGGCTGAACCTCCCCTCCCAGTGCAAACTTTGCTCTGGTTCCAGTTCTGGGAGCTGTTTCTGCCCCTCAGTGTGGCCGAGGCTGAGGTCTGAAGACCGGCTGGTCCCTGGTGTGGGGCAGGCTGTGGGATTTCAGCCGGGCAAGGCCTTGCTGGGCTTGGACCTCAGCTCCCTCAGCTGAGGCTTGCTGGGACCCCACAGAGAGCAATCCCTCAGCTGTGTCTCATCCCAGTGCCACCAACACTTGGGACAATCTCCCTAATGGGACAAGCTGCAGCTCGCAGAGGTCTGGGGTGACACCAGGCGGGTGACACCAGGCCTGCTCTCACAAGGCCTGGGCAGCATCTGACTCGGTTCCCCAGGGGTTTTAACCCGCAGGGAGGAAAAAAACAGCCGAGGTTAATATCCCACCAGCAAGCAATGAGTCTGACCTAGTATTCAGCCACCCGCGTGAGTTACGGGAGCTGGCAGGGCTGTCCCCTGGCAGCGGGGCCCTGCTGGCTGTCCCCGTGTGCCCTTAGCCCACTTCAGGCTGGAGCCAAGGCAGCGCCCCACGGCCAGAGGCACGCACTTGGATAATGTCAGCGGCTCCGGGCCTGGAACAACTCGCTGAGAGGCTGTAACGTGATCGTGCCTGGCCCCCATGAGCTGTCCTGGTGCCAGCCAGCCTGTGTCCCCGAGGGGACGCAGCCACCAGGGGGGTCTGTAGCGGGGCTGCCCGTGGCGGTGTGCATCCTGCCCTGGGGCTCTGTCTTGAAGCATCGCTTCTGCTGGCAACAGCAGCTGGGAAGAGATGGTCCTGTCATCCACCTGGGCTTTGAAGTGCCAAATGATGTGCTTTTACCTCGAGGGGGAGCCTCGGCCTTTTGCTGGTTGCGAGAGCTCGTGCGATTTTTGGTATTTGACTCTGAAGAGACGCAGGGCAGGGAAGGTTTTATGGACAACAGACCCGTCTACAGAAAGTGCTGGGTCTCAGAGCCATAAAATAACAGAACAATTCAGGCTGTTAGGGACATCTGGAGGTCTGAGTCCAACCCTCTGCTCAGATCAGGGCCAGCTAGGTCACACAGCTCAGGGCCTGGCCCAGTTTTGAGTCCACATCCTCTCTGGGAAACTTTTTCCAGCATCTGACCACCTTCACGGTGAAAGCTTTTATTCCACAAACATAATCAGATTTTCCCTTGTTCCAGCTTGTGGCCATTCCCTGGGTCCTGTTGCTGATCTCCTTGGAGGAGAGCCACGGACGTCCTCAATACAGCAGAGCACTGACAATAGGTTAAATTTGGGCAATCAAACTCTGCTTGGGGTTTATTTTCCCAATCAGCATGCAACTGGTCTGCACACAGGGAAAAAATATAGTTTCTGCCCCAACTTCTGACCTGTGAAAAGTGAATGAAATGATAAGGCTTGCTCATTTACCTTTCCCACAGGTGAATGAGTCCACAGGTGTCAGTGGGCCACTGAAATCCTATTGCTCAGGATTATTCTGAACAGTATTTGTATGGCCACCAGTTATCAGCGGTCTCACAACGTCTGTGGGACATCCCCAGGGGTGTGCTGATGCCATGGCCTCATGGATGAGCAGTGAGGGGCAGCCCTGGTGCTGTTTGTGCAAGTTGGTACCTGGGGAGCACTGAACCTGTGTGGGCAGCTCACAAATACGTCGGGATAGGAAATAAATGGCTGGAGCAGGAGTAGGAGGGCAAAAGATAAAAACCAAAGCCTGATTTCCTGCGTGGTGGTAACCACGGGCCTGAGCTTATGAGAACATGGAGCTGGACTATTCTCTAGGGTCAAACAGGGAGAGGTGATGTTCCCACTGAAAACGGGGAAAAGTTCCCCACCCTGCGCGTGGTTAAGCACTGAGGAGGCTGCTCAAAGAGGCTGTGGCGTCTCCATCCTTGGAGGCTGTCAGAACTTGCCTGGCCTTGGGCAACCTGCGCCGATTTGGCAGCTGGGGGCTGGAGCAGGTAACTGCTGGGAGGCTCTTCCCACCCGAATTTTCCTTGCTTCGTTTGAGGAGGAGGAGGAGGAGCAGGAAGCCTCCACAGCGTCCACCCAAGAGGGCTTTTGTGTTGCCTCTTTTTTTTTTTCAGGGGGCTTTTGTGTTGTGGACAGGCTCTGGCTGCCTTTATTTACCAACACAGATGGGTCCTCTGAGGCTACGCTTGTTTGCAGGGAAGTCCAAAGTGCGCTTATCTGGGTGGCATTGCTGGCTGGGTCCCAAGCAGGTGGCCAGCATCACTCCAGTCCTGTGGGAACACGAGCTGGAAATGCTCCCTGCCCGTGCTGGCGTTGATTTACAGGGATGGGAACAGGGCAGATTTACAAATTCACCACTCCAGGGGCCGACCCTGCACCAGAGATGTGGCCAAACCAGGGCTGGCTGCACTGAAAATGGTGAACTCGAGTTTGTTGCTCTGGCTGTATGAAGGTTTAAGCATCAAGGGGGTAGTGCCCAGGAGGGAAAAGCTGTTCTGGAGCTGGTGGAAAGCTGGGGGTAGATAAGGGTGTGTGTAATCCGAGGGGATGTGGCAGATGTGCGTGGCTGAGGGTGGAAAACCGAAGCAGAAGAATTGGGAAGACAGAGTGCCTTGTGGGGACAGACCCCAGGGAGCAAAGATGCTCTGCTTAGAAAAGTAATTCCTAACAAAATTGTGGGGTCTGTGATATTATTTATTCATAACCTTTATTCTCACATATGATTTTATGCTACCGTTACTTTGCTTTACCATAGGCCCTCAGTTGGACCTCAGTTGACCTCCTATGCCCCTGGTTGTAAAATCTGTGTGCAACATCACCTGGACGTCATCTCTGCATAAATCCCCCTCCTTTATTATTTTTATTATTTTTTTTTTACCTCTGGGGCTCTCATCACTGCTCAGCCAGCCCTGGGATGCTGTGAAATACCTGGGTCAGTTCTCAGCAGCACCTGAGCAGTGCTCGCAGACAAGTTTGTGCTTCCTAAACCTGGGGAGAAATTCCCAGAAGGAGGAGGACCGGTGCCTCGGGTACTTCTAGAGATGAGTACTCACAGGCTTTTAGTGGCCTTAATAAAGCATATGGAAGTTTGCTGTCAGATCTGCTTTTTTTAGCCCAATTGTCTTGACCCCAAGTGAGACCTGAGTCCAGATCTGGGGACGGTGGCGTTTTGCAAATTTTGTTTTATTTAATTGAGTTGTGGGGTGAGCAGGGCTCGCAGCATCGCAGACGGTTAGTTAAAGCAAGCTGACTTAATGTCACTGAGTCATGAGCAAGTCAGGCTTCTGCCTGCTGCCTGCTCCTTCTGGGACGTGTCAGGGCATCGCTACGAGCAGGGCGCACTTACCGAGGAATAATGGCTTGCTTCATAACGAGGGGTTTTCTGCTGAGCTTCGCGAAATGGCCCTTACACAGGTTGGGCATTAAAGTCCTGGAGACAACGTATATGGTACTAATTATTACAAAATGCTGCAGCAAGGACGTGCTCTCCCTGTGACAGCACGGCACAAGCCTTGGCTGATGGGGCTCCCTGCTCCTCTCGGGGTGGACGCGGTGACCTCTGCGGACGGGGTTTGCTGGCTGGTGGAAACGGTTCCCACAGCCCCAGAAGAACTTAGTGCTGAATCTCCTGATAGTGCGTGTAGGTTTGGGTTCTGAGGTAAGCCCAGACTTAATTAGAAGGCCTTTTCTTTCTTCAAAACCACAGCAAAAAAAGAAAAGGCTGCAGAAGCCTGCCTACACTTCCCTTGGCTGGCAAGGTGCTCGGCACCGTAATGACCGGGGTTATTAACCACCAGTCCTCACAAACCAAGCGGTCTCGGCCTGCCAGGAGAATAAAAAGATGAGGAAAGTAGGTAGCTCAGAGCCCTGAGTAAGGGATTAGAAGGTGGGGATTTAACTGGAAATTTGTGACACGGGGGCGGGCTGCGATCTCTTCCAAGTCCAGGTGGTTTCTGTGCCATGGAGCAAGGCGCGGGGCTGGAAACCACCACGTGCATTGGTATGCTGGCTCCTGCCGTTTCATCTCCAGGCTCTTGCTTGACACCTCGGTGCAATAAGGTCGGGAATAATAAACGGTGAGCTATAAAACCTTGCGCGTGGCCTCCCTTTGTGCTGACGGCAGCGCGTTTCCCCCGACACGGCCCGATGCCATCCCGCTCCCGGCTGAGTCAGTTCCCTGAGCGGGCAAAAGCCTCGGCTCCACAGCTGGCAGCGCCTCCACGCCGCTTGCCTGGAGGCAGCAGCAGGTCTTGGTGCTGCCTTTTGATCCCAGGGGTCCCCGGAGGACATTGGTCTGGGAGGCGTGGGTCTTGGGCTTAGGTGGCTTCTGCAGAGCTGCTGAAATACCACCGTGAGTCCTGGGGGCTGCATGAGCAGCTGGGATGCTCCTCGCAGGGTTTCTAGCTCTTGGTGCAAGAGCAAACCAAACGAGGACATCATCTGAACCATCCCCTCGTGCTGAGATGGAGATACTGGGAAGCAATATTGTCTGATACTGGGAGGCAACCCACTGAAAGCTTCTGTCGCTCTTCATCCAGCCTTAATTAAAAAATGGGGGAACAAAAGGAGAAGTCTGGTCTCCTAAAACGGGTTTAAGAGGGTTTAGTTCTGCTAGTTTTGGAGGCTGAGTGCTGGTGTCTATAGGAAAGTTGTGCCCTTGCAGTCTCAAGGTACTTAATTGCAATTTGTTATAAACGAGCCTTTTAATCCTCGCTAGTGGCCCTGAGCCTGCAAGCAGATGCAGCTCGGGCTTTGCACAACCTCCGAGCAAGGGGAACACCAGGAAGGGCTCTTCCCAGCACAGCGAGTAACCATAGCAGCCAAGGCCTGCTTTGGAAAGAAGGGTATGATTTCTGCTCTCTCTCTCTCTTTTTTTTTCTTTTTTCTTTTTTTTTTTTAAAAAAAAAAGTTTTTTTTTTTTTTACACCAGTTCCAGAAGAACTTCCCATAAAGAGGTTATTTCGGTTTAAAAGGAGACAAAGATCCCCCCCAACTCCTGTTTAGCACTGATTGGACTCAAAAGCAGGGTCTCCTGAAGGCGTTTTAAGTGGAAATAACAATCGTCCTGAGAGAGCTGCGAGTGGAAGACCCTCCGCCCTCCCCCTAGTGAATAAAACACAGCTGGGGAAGTGCTTAGCAGTGCCCAGCCAGCTTTGCTGGGTTAGAAACTTGTTTTTCCTCACTCACTGCTTACAGGCTTGACTTGATTTTAGGTCAAAAACAAAACAAACAAAAAAAAACCCACAACCCAACCTCACCTTATTTTTTCTCTCTCTAAACCCAAATTGTCAGGAGGATTTTTTCTTCTTCTTTTTTCTTCTTCTTTTTTTTTTTTTTTTTTCCCTTTCATTTTCTTCTTTTTTCTTCTTCATCTTTTTTTTTTTTTCTTTTCTCCTTTTTTTCTTCTTTTTTTTTTTTTTTTTCTTTTTCTTTTTTTCTTTTCACAATGTTAAATGTAAACCAACCCTAACAGGTCGCATGATGCTCCAGCAGCTTGAACCGGCCTGAGAGCAACCAGCGAGAAGAATACGGCTAAAAATCCGCTCATGAAATGTCCCTGCTGGAGGCCTGTGACAAGGAGGTAAGTGGAAGAAGAGGGAAACCCTGGTCCAGCTGGGTGAGAGAAGCCACCGCTGCCTGTCCTGTCAGCACATGGTGGTGTTTGTGAGCACAGCCTCTTGGCTTTCGAGGTCCTCTGCATTTTTGGAAGTGGTAGGATGGGACACAGGGGGAAATGCACAGACAAAGCGGGGGCAGGCACAGGGTGTTTGCAGCTTGGGGGTGGTGAGGGGATGCCTGGGCTGAAGGGGCAGCAGGACAGGTGTCCTCCTCCAAAAACGCAAGGTTAGACGGCTTCTGGTGGGAATTACACGGCGTGGGATTCATGTCATGTCCAGGATGAGGTCTGCTGGCTGGTTGACATGCAGGAAATTTAATATTATTTCTAAAAAGGCAGTGGGGGTCCACGAATTACAAGGAGACAAGGAGGAGAGGAACTTCGATGACACTGGGCAAAATGTTTTTTTTTTTAATTTTTAATATTTTTTTTCCCCTTTTTGTCTGTAGGGTATGAGATGACATCTTCAACACTTCGCTCTTCCCCCCTGCCGTGCTGCCCAAGCGCCCCTTGCCCTGCCCAAGCCCTGCGCAAAGCTGCGGCGCGCAGCGGGGGCGCACGGGGAGGCCTGCGGGCTCCCTCTGCTGTCCCTGCGGGGTCAGAGCCGCCAGGAAAGGATCCTGGGGTCGGGCAGGGACGGATCCTGGTCCCTACAATCCCCTCTGCAGCCCTGCAAGGGTCTGCCTGTGCCCCCTGCCTTGCTGCGCCCCGGGGACACCAGCCCCTGCTGGCCCTCTGCTCCCCAGGGGATGGGGACGGGCAGCTGCGGGAAAATTGTCCTTGTCTCATGGCTGCTCCTCCACTGGGGGATTTTTATGCCTTGTGCAGGTAGCTGGGTTTAAAAAGCGGTGCTCAGAGCCAGAGAAACATCTCTGGGTTGTCCCGCTTGGTAAGGGAGCATGGTGCCAGGGAAGGGATGGTGCCAGGGAAGGGATGGTGTCCCTGGGGAACACGGGGGCCACTTTGCAGAGCTGCTTTTGAGCTTCAAAAGATGGGAGCTGAGGCTCTGGGCTCCAGATTTTGGGCAGCCTGGGGAAAATGAGGCTGGAAGCAGCTGATGGAGGCTGGTGCTCAGCAGGACCAGCTCATATGTGAGCCCTAGGGCCAGGGTGGGGATGGGGAAGGAGCCCAGGCGAAAGAGGCTGCAAACTGCTTTGTCTTGAAGAATTCATGTGGCAGCACTGCAGAAAAGGGCATTGACAGCAACTTAAATACTGGAAAATAACAGAAAAACTAGAGAAGAAATGGGGGCAGTCACAAGGGAAGGCAACTACTGTGGAAAACTGGAGGAGATGCAACTCTAATGCGGAACAGGTAATGAATGGTTATGTAATGGTTGCTGCATCCATGCGTGATGGATCTGGGATGCCTAAATCATGGAAATTTTTCTCAAACAGTAGTAATTTGGCTGCAGAGCTGTATCTGTTAACAAAACGAAATAATGTCTCTTCTGCCCCAAGCACTGCTATGGGAAAGGAGGAGAGAGTAGATTTGTTACAGGTTTTAGAAGGAAGGGGGGGGGATGGGACATGACACATCTTCTGGCCTTTTTTTTTTTTTTTTTTTGGTGGTGTGTTGAAGTTACAGTCACAGGAAACCATCTCATGCAGGTTTCTTTTCCCCCTGCCTTCAGCTGGGTGTGTCGGCAGGCACAGCTGGGGCAGCTGAGCCCCTGGGCTGGCTGCTGAGCGCCGTGATGGATGCCAGGCAGCAGGGCTAATCAAATCATCCGCCCTAATCCCTTTACCCTCAGCGAAACTTGCATTTCGGCTCATTAACGCTGAGGCCAGAGTGGGACAGGCCAGGTTTATGCTCATTACTCACTGCCCATTACCACTGCCTTCACAAGCACGCTTGTGCCTGTCTCATCTTTCACGTCCTCGCGTGTATTTGGGATCTTTCCTACTGCTGCCTGGTTGTGCACAGGGACTGACCAGCAGTAGGGTCCCCTGCACCTTGTTCTGCCCCCATGGGGTCACTGCTGGGCCCCGTGATGAAGTTTGCCCTGGCAGAGCAACAGGCCACGGTACGAAAGGAGCCTGCTGGTCCCATCTTGAGGTGACTGTGACCAAACCCAGCCAAATACCAAACTTCCCAGGCTCTGCAGGGCTGTTTCTGGCAGATGCCACCAGAAAAGCAGTGAGAAGCATCACCCTTTGCTGTCCTGCCTCGGTCTCCTCCGTTGTGGACTTCCACGGTTTTGGGGCTGCTTTTCTTTGAAGGACGTGGGGGCTCCTGGCTGCTTTGTGAGCAGGGCAAGCTAAGTTTTTGGAGCAAGAGAAAAGCAGCTGGGGACACTTGGTGCTGTGGTCACTGAGATGCACCAGAAAAGCTGCCGTGCAGGAGCAAGGGACCAGCTCGGGCGGCCTTCCTGTGTATGCATTTCGTGTGAGTAAAGGCAGAGGAATGTAACCCAAAGGAAGCTGCAGTGGAAATATCCGCTTGTGGTGACTGACAGGCTCCTGTAATTTTCCATGTGTGGCAAGAGTTGGGGCGCGCTGTCTGTGATCAGGGCGCCGCAATTAAAACCCCCTTTGGGCCTAAAATCCCCTGGAAATGGCTGCCCCCAGATGCAGTTGTGTGATGGAGGAGGACGGGCTGTGGGGTTGGCTGTGGCTATCTGCTCCCTGGCAGCAGGGCAGGGTGGAGGTGCCTGCTGGGGAGGTGGCAGGAGATAGCAGGGCCCTACAGGGTGCTGGCAGGCCTCCCTGCCCCTCCTGCCCCAGGGATCACCGTCCTGGGGGGTGGCTGGAGCTGCCCCCTGCCTCCTGACCCCATACGGGGGCACCACCTTGGCTGTGGAGCACGATGGCCTAGAAAAGTTTCTCCCTGATAGCCAACCCCATGGTTGATGTAGGAGGCTGGGATAGCCTCGATGGCCTCACAGCCTCTTTGTTTTTTAACAGGAACAGGTCTTATGGCTTGGGGTGTCCTACAGCAGGTTTGGAGGCCATCACGGGTGGGTTTTTCAGGGCGCTGGGATGTGGTCTTTGGGTGCACAAAAAAACAGGATGGGGTTTTTGGGTCCCAGGGCTGGGGTGCGTACTGAGCCCTCAGTGTTTGGGGTGCTGTCAGCATGCAGACCCTAAATGGGACAAATGCCCTAAACCCACTGCCTGGGCTGGCCTTTTTGGGGGCTGCCAGCTGAGGGGAGCCCGGCCCCAGGTCTGTGATGTGGAATGTGTGACTGGTTTGAACTTATGGGGTCTGGGGGCAGCGCCTCAGGTTCCTATAGGGAGAAAGGGGCCCCGGGCCCATGGGGCGCCTCAGCACCTGGGGGGGGGGGGGGGGGCACAGAGACCCGGGGGGCGTGGCCTGCCCGCTCGGTGGGCGTGGCCTCCGCGAGCGCGCCAAAACCTCCTTGCCCCTCTTCCTGGCGCCACAATGGGAGGCGGGCCTCTGGCCGGCCTCCCGCCCAATGAGCGCCGCGCTCGGGGCGCAGGCTCGGGCTCTGATTGGCCGGCAGGCGTTGTGGCGCCAAGTTCGAAGGGGTATATAAAGGGGGCGGCGGAGCCCCTCGCCCCCCAGTCGCTCTCCGCGCTGCCGCCATGCTGCACGCCCGCGCCCCGCTCGCCGCCCGCCAGGAGCAGCCCCGGCTGCCGGCCCTGAAGGGCCTGGCGCTGGGCGACAAGGAGAACACGGTGAGCGGCCCCTTCCCTCCCCCCGCCCTCCCTCCGTCCCTCCCGGGCCCCTCTCTCACCGCCCCGCTCTCCCCGCAGCCCCCGGCCGCCAGCAGCAGCCGCGTCCTGGCCAGCAAGGCGGCCCGCAACATCTTCCAGGAGCCGGTGAGTGCGCGCCCCGAAGGCGTTTTTCCCCTAAATCGGCTCCCTCAGGGCCGGCGGTGCCCCCTCGGGGCCCGTTCCCCCTCCCTCAGCCGCTCCCCGCCCGCCGCAGGGCCCCCGGAGCGCCGAGCAGGACGAGCCGCTGCTGCGGGAGAACCCCCGCCGCTTCGTCGTGTTCCCCATCCAGTACCACGACATCTGGCAGATGTACAAGAAGGCCGAGGCGTCCTTCTGGACGGCGGAGGAGGTGAGGGAGTCCCCACGGGGTCATCTCCTCCAAACCCCCCCCCCCCAAGCCTTGGGGCAGCCCTGAGGCTTCCCCACGGGTATCTCACCCACACCATCCCTGCTTCAGGAGCTTTTATTCCTCCTTGTTTCATCGCTTTCTTTTAATATTCTCTCTTATTATGTTTCTTTTCACGTTTCAGGTCGACCTCTCAAAGGACATCCAGCACTGGGAGTCGCTGAAGCCCGAGGAGAAATACTTCATCTCGCACGTCCTCGCCTTCTTTGCTGCCAGTGACGGCATTGTCAACGAGAACCTGGTGGGTGTGGGGAGAGAGCCCCGACATCCAGTCCCTCTGGGGATTGAGCCTAGCCAGATAACTGCACGGTTAATGGCACAGCTGCCAGCTTGTCTGCTTAGGGCATGTAGTGTTGCCTGATCCTGATTAGCAGACCAGATTTCCTCCTTGTAATACCCAAGTTTGCCCTTTCCCCAGTGAACATTGCCCTACAGTAGTAGCACTTGCCCAATTCAGAGCCCCTGATCTGCTTCTAACCTGCCACTGCTCTCCTCCCTAGTGGAGGCTGAGGAAAATTAAGAAAGTTCCCTGTTCCTGGGACTAAAAACCAACTCATGGCTTGGGGCTGTGAGGGGCAACTGCTCCTCTTCTTCCTGCTCAGACCCCACATTTCTGGGACTAATCTGCAGAGAGTTCTGTGGGCTGAGCAGTTACAGACAGCACTGCTGCTTCTAACCTGCAACTTAGTTAACAATGTTCACAAATGCTCCTTTATTTCCTCTAGGTGGAGCGGTTCAGTCAAGAAGTACAAATCACAGAAGCTCGTTGTTTCTATGGCTTCCAGATCGCCATGGAAAACATACATTCAGAAATGTATAGCCTTCTGATTGACACGTACATCAAGGACTCTAAGGAGAGGTTAGTGTTGCCTGACAATGAAAGGTCTGAAACTCTGAGCTGTTGAGATATAATTGCTGTATATCTATTATTTTGACTCAAAAGCTGATTTTGGGGATTTGAACTAGACGTATATAAAATAATGCTAAAAGTGCTGCTTAAGAGCAACTCCAGAATATGTTTTTGTTCTTAAGTGTGAGAATTTGCCTAGATTGCAGGAAACTGAAACCACTTCTTACTGAAAGTAAGAAGCGAAACTATGTAAAAGATACAACAAACAAGTGGCTATGTTAAATTACAGTAAGCTCTCACATAGAGGACCCACTGCACCTAGCAGGTAGTTCTGTAGGATATTTTCTCTGAGAATCTTGCTGCTTGTATTAAAGAGTCTCACCACTTGTATTAAAATATCTCTAAAACCCTGCAAATCTAGTTAATGGTTAGCACCTAGTGATTTGACTGTTTTTGCTGGGCTTAAAAGCAAGCAAAACACTTTATTTCCCCAAAGTGGCTTTTGATGTTGATTAGAAAACAAAGCCAAAGTGCAATGAGATGGATCAATTCAAGAGTTGCGTTTTAAAGCTAAATTCAGGGCTTTTGAGCAGTCTAGACTAGATTTATTCTAGTATTTTCTTGTAAGACCAACATCTGTTGAGAGAAATAACTGGTGCTAGATGTGGTTGAGAGAGATTTAGTTGCTGATAGCTTGTTGAAAGCTGACATTTCCACTCCATGGTGCTTAATTCCACCAGGTGTTTAAGGAAGAACTGTCTGCTCTGTGGTGCTTAATTCCACTAAGTGTTTAAGGAAGAGTTGCTTACCTGAAAACTTAGGTCTTGGCACTGGAGGCTGGCCTGTAGTTTTGAAAGCCTCCTTCAACTATAATACTTGGTGAAACGGTCCTCCCCTTGACACTGTCAGGAATTCATGTGAACTGGTGTTGACATGACAGGAAGGTGGTGCAGAGGTAGTAGATGGACACAAATAGAAAGAGGTGCAAAATAAAATGGGTCAGGTTACTTAAATATTGAGGGTACAGAGCACTTGTGAGAATAACACCATCTATGGCTAAGAATGTTGTGTTGCTTGCTGTGCTGCTGTCTCATGCTACTGACGCGTCTTGCTTTGCAGGGAATTCCTTTTCAATGCTATTGAAACGTTACCATGTGTTAAAAAGAAGGCTGACTGGGCCATGCGCTGGATTGGGGACAAGAAAGCGACATATGGTGAGTGCGTCTATTGGAAGCAAAGCGAGATTTCTTCCCTAGCACGATGGAGGAACCACCATTCCTCTAGGCAGTTTAGAGACTGTTGTCACAGGATGAATAAATGCTCTGGGATAATTCTGGAGATAAAGATTTTCGTCTTGCAAATGAACATGAATATTTGTAAAGTTGTTGGTGTTTTGAATAATGAGCTCACATGACAATCTTTGTATACTTTGCTGTATGAACAAATTGATAAGACGTGTCTAGAACTGGCCATTGATCTCCAGCAGGTTTGTAACAGTTGGAGGCAGTGGCTCCTCTGCCCCAGTGATTTGTGATGTCTCACTTCACAGGTGAGAGGAGATGGTAGAGATCATTATTGTGCTACTGCTAAAGCATTAAATGAGGCCAAAGTTCCTCACTTAATTAAGGATGAGCAGACACGGACTTCAATCTGCTGCCAAAATGACTACTCTGTGTGCACTCTTTGGAAAAAGGCAGCATTGATGTTTAACCTAGGGGAAGGAGCCTTGGCTTCAGCTACCTGCTAGCTACTCTAATTTGGTTTCACTTCTCTTATTCCAAAGTTCTACTTGATAACCAGAAGCCTTTGCTAGAATAGCTTTATGGACAGGTTATAGCACCCTTGAGCAGAAGGCTTCATTGTCCTTCGAGGACTCTGTTTATTGGTCTATTCACAACTTCTCAGCTTTAATCCTGTTAAGTCTTCCATGTGATACCAACATCCATTTCCTTGTAACAGGAGAACGTGTAGTAGCTTTTGCAGCTGTGGAAGGCATCTTCTTTTCTGGCTCTTTTGCTTCAATTTTTTGGCTGAAGAAAAGAGGATTAATGCCGGGACTCACTTTTTCTAACGAACTCATCAGTCGAGATGAGGTAAGGCTCAAATTTTAGCAGTTAATATGGTGATGTGCCATGTGGCTTGAAGTAATGACTTTCTGCTGCAGCCTGTATTTTTCTGCAGGATTGTATTTAGAAAGAGGCAGTCTGTAAGGCTCACTAAAGTGTGTAAATGTGGATCTTAGTGAGTGAAAGTATTATTTTATTAACTCAAAAGGAGCTTAACATTTCTCACCAGCTCTTTCCCTTGCTGAGGGAGCAAATGCAGTTGGTACTGGCCTGAATTCATTGTACCTCCTTCTGGTTAGGCAGAAAGCTGTCTGCAGATAGCACTCGCGTGGCAAGCACAGTAATGGTGCCTAGACTTTAGGCTAGTTACTCTGTGCTACTGCTTCGAGTGGTTCTTTTAAATCAGCATTCGTGACAATTTTCTGAAACTTCTTCCCAGGGTCTGCACTGTGATTTTGCCTGCCTCATGTTCAAGCACTTGATACACAAACCGTCAGAGGAAAGGGTGAAAGAAATCATCATGAATGCAGTCCTCATAGAACAGGTAATTGTCTGCTGCTTGGTTAGGAACTTGATCACCATTAAGTGCAAAACTGTGGAGCTGTTGGGTATAAAATTACCCTAGATGGTGCAGAGTGAATGCTGGCTGCTGTACACGATGTGCTTCTGTTTTCTGCAGGAATTCTTGACAGAGGCACTGCCTGTTAAGCTGATTGGCATGAACTGCACTTTAATGAAACAATACATCGAGTTTGTAGCAGACCGGCTTATGTTGGAACTGGGATTTAAAAAGGTAAGGCTAACACACAGAATCTGTCGTGGGGAGAAGACCATAATAAGTTTAATTTCTTCCAGAAACCCAAATCCTCAAATGGCTGCAGCGCTATTGGTATAACTTACAGATTCAGTTATTAGTCCTGCTGTTAGGAACTGTTTGGGTACCCACAGCAGAAAAGGCAAAAGAACACTAATGAAAGACACGTAGGAGTTGCTGTGCTTCTGTCTAATGGGAACGAGAATGTAAAGACAGGAATGAACAGCGAAGATGTGGGGCAGAGGCTTTTGTTCACTGTGTAGCAAGCCCACCAGTGGTGTCATTAGCCACCTTTTTAATGCTTTCATGAGTTGCAGATTTGAGCACCCCTAGTGACTGTAGCATTCATTACCTTTGCATTTCAGATATACAAAGCAGAGAACCCTTTTGATTTCATGGAAAACATCTCTCTGGAAGGCAAGACCAACTTCTTCGAGAAGCGAGTAGGTGAATACCAGAGGATGGGAGTCATGTCAAAGCCCACAGACAACTCTTTCACCCTGGATGCAGAATTTTAAATGGACTGAGATGGCATGAGTTAGTGTGTATGCTCTCCTCTTCACAAGGAAAGATTAAACAAATTGAGTCACGTTGTGACTTGATGTTTTGTACTAAAATCCCACTCCTGAAAGGTGTGGAGACATGGGTACTTCTAAGGAGGCTAGTGTAACCCCAGCAGTAAAATCCCTTTTTGTTAGACTTTGCCAAAGGTGTTAATTCTTAGAATGCTTAAATGTATCTCCTGAAACACGCGCTACTTATCTGGTGAAACATGGGCTCCTTCCTCCTGCCAGATGGGGGCTTTGGGTAATCACCACTAGCTTCTCCGCATCTAGAAAGGACTGTTTGGGAAATTCTGGCCTTAAACTTGTTGAATACTCTGTAGAAAACTCCGGAGGCAGCTACATGACCTCACTGCTTTCTTAGCAGGTTTTAAGTTTACTTTTTTATGTTATTTTAATAGTTTGTACATAAACCTGGCACTTTAACTTTCAAAATAAAGAACTGTCTCATAATACTCTAATGGTAAAATGCAAGTCTAAAAGTTCATGATTTTGCAACTGAACCTTTTGTGTCTTGTGCTTCTTTCCTGGTATATAACATGAAAAAATGGTTCTGTGAAGCAAACTGGAATGATATTAAAATCTGTCAAAGAACAAAAGGGGATGGAAGGTGAACAACTTGGTAATAAGCTGGATATTCTGTGTATTGGAGAACAATATGTGGCTAGATTTTGCTGTTCTTCAGTATCTGGGAACATTATTTCATGTTAAACCCCACTGAGAGACTGAAATTGGCTACTGTCTTCCTTGTGTTGGTCTATTTGATAATGGGAAAGAAACCTGATGGAACTTAAATCATTTCTGTGAGCTGGAAGAATGCTGAGTTGGCTTCTTTCTGCTGAAGGCTTCCCTCTTTGAAAATGTGTGCAGTATGTATGGTGCTTCTCTGAGAGATGCGGTCTTGGGTTAGAAGTAACTGATTTGCTGATCCTTGCTCCTTCACTCTCGGGTGCACTGAAGCTGATGGTGTGTGACTGTTCCTCCCATGGGTCCGTGAAGCTGGGAGGATGTGCACGTTTCTAAGGCTGTCCTAGGGAACAAAACCATAAATTATTAAAAAAGAAAAATCCCCGAAGGCTGGAATGCAAAGCAGAAAATGCGAGACGTGTAACAGATGGCTCCAAAATGCCCCTGCAGCACTGATGTTGGTAACAGGTCAGTAGTCGCAGTGGGCTGAGAATAACGTGCTGGGAGCTGGAATTGGGGATGTGTTAGACTGAATGGCCAGATGCATCATTCTGAAACACTGAAACTTGGTTCTTTTTAACGTTATTGGGCACGTTTCCTGCTAAATATCAGCATTGCTCCCTCAGCAAGCTGGGTTTTGAGCTTGTTTTTCTGAGTCGGGTCTTGCTGTATCGTAACGATCCCTTTCTACTTAATTCTCAATATATGGCAAGGATGGAAATGATTGGGGTGGAAAGCTTTAATTTTTTTACCCCTAACTGGAGATACGAATAGAACCAGCACTGTATTTTCAGCACACTCCAGAAGCGCTGCTCGAAATGGAGGTGTGATGGCCAAGTCGTCTTGTAATGGCAGGCAGGAAGAAAGTCCCTTAGCCAAGCGCACTTGGGGTAACAGACGCCGTAGACACGGGCGCATTAGGGATGGATTAGATAGGAATTAGAAATGATTCAAGGAGAGAATAAGGCCTGCTGTGGTTGGTATTAATCTCCTCCTGGCGTTGCAGATGTATAAATGCCTGCTGACTTCTGGTGTACGAACACGCCGTAATGCAAATCAGCTCTTATGGTGTGGTCCGGAGGAAAGCTTTGCATCTGGCCCCGCCTCTTTTAATTTTGTTTTCACAAGGAATTAAACATCTTGCCGTTGGTTGGATTACACAGATCACGTCCAAGCCTTGATAAAATGCTTAGTTACCGAGAGGCGATTAGTTCCTAATTCAAGCGAGATGCCAGTTGTTTTGACACTTGATCCTCCTCGGCACCGAGGGGATAATGGAAGCTGTCGCTTCCCTTCAGAAATAAACCAACAGAAAAATGAAGGGAAGTGAAAATTTAACTGACCCTTCAGGGTATGTTTGGGAACGGAGGCTGAAGAACCAGTGGAGACTGAAGCGAAGTGATGGAAGGGCTGATTATTTTTTTTTTTTTTGTATGTGTATGATTCAGAACAGCTGTCTGGTGGGGGTTCTGGCACAGTAATTGCCGCAAGTGCAAAGCAATTAGGCTAGTAGAGGAAAAATACTAAGGGATACGTAAAAACGGATGTGTTTGGTGCAATGCTCTGATGGCTGTCAGTTGATTTATGCAGCCCTGATCCCTAGCTATCCCCCCATGTTATATTTATTAATACAATTAACAGCTTTTAACAGCACCAGATGCAATGGAAGAAGACTAACTTAAAAGCTTTCTCATTACTTTTATTTCTTCTGTTGGTTTTAAAAAACACTTGCATGGGTACAGGTGAGAAAGCCTTTAACAAATTGACACCTTTTCTCTTTCCAAGTTGCACGTCAGATGTAAAATCTTAGGCAATGTGGGGGGGCAAGAGCAGCGACCCAAGGTTAGGCTCGTCTTCAGGAAGCAACTGCACCGCTAGGATGTAATGACAAAGAAAATCCCCAGATTTCTCAAATTTCCTGGAGTGATGACAGCAATTTGTGCCCAGAAGAGGTCAGAGAACAGTTCCTGCTGCTCGTGCCTGCAGCAGGGCACAGCCAGCCTGCGGATCTGAAGGCATATTAACAATCTGGAGCGCTCCCCGGAGGGTAGCTGCTTCCTCCACGCCGGTGAGAAGTCAGAAAAATTGCCACAAAGTAGTGAGTGAATGGAGTTCTTCTTCCAAAGCCCACTGCTCACAGTCAGTGATGCCCCATTTTAAGCTGCTGATTACCTCTCTGTCCCCTCTATGCCTAATGAATTATAAGTAGTAAATACTTCCATCAGAAAGGATCTGAGAGCTGCTCGTGTCCTGTTTGCTGATGGGAAGCTGCTGTTTTTGTTAGGAATCCATCCCTTGGGGGTGTTACTGATTCCTCTGATTCACACAACACAGTGACTTGGTTTCTGTGGCACAGGACTTCACATCGGGACTAGCTTATAGGTCAGAGTTATGCCTCAGCTGCCTTTAATGGTGGCATTGCTCCTTCCTCAGCCTGCGGAGAAACAGCTTTATTCCTTTGGAGTGTTGTGTGCCAGAAAGATGACATCTTTGATATCTTCAGTGATGGGTTCTTCGCTGATCAGCAGATAAAAGGTGGTGTCTGCTGGGCACCTGCTCTTAGCTAAATGCCAGGTAGCTGTGGGATGGTCAAGGAACACCAGTTTTCATTCCCCTGTCTGGGTGTTACTGGTGCTCTGCTGGCCATCTGCTGGCAAACAGCAAGTCCTGGGGCACTGGCTGGCCACCAGAGCTGTGGCTTTGGCTCCTGATTTTAGGTTACCCCCACACCACCCTGTGCTTTTGAACCTGCTGGAGAGGAGTTCACTGTGAAGGTGAGTGCAGGAGAAAGGGTTGTGTTAAAATCCCCCCTGCTGCGGATGCTTCTCTTGCTGAAAGCAGAAATCCTGAGATGCATCGGGGGTGAATGAATTTTAAAATGAACACCTTTTCTCCCCCCTGCTGTTACTCATTTTTTTGAGACTTGAAATATCAAGAGAAACATACCGTAGTGGAATGGCTTTGCAATTTTTTTCCAGTAACCAAATCCCTCTCCTGCTTTTTCCCGGCTTGTAATGCAGTGTGTAGTTCAAGCCGCAGGCAACGTTGCTTTGTTCGTCAGATGAAGATTACAGTGAATTACTAGGAGATGCTTGTGCTATGCAGCGCTCGGGAGCACTTGGCTGGCACTGAATGCTCGTGTGGAGGCTTTTCCCCTGGCCTAAGGGTGAAGATTCACATGTTGGATACACACTGGTGCCTCTCGGAAGCAGACTGGGGGGGAAAAAGCATCCAAGGCCAGTTTCTGCTATCGCTTACTGGTAATTTATACTTCCAAATATTGTAGGATTTAGCTTAAATTAAGGGAGAGTTTGCGGTTTTTGCACATCCAAAGGTTGGACTTGCAAACTATGGTCTTTTGGGTTGTGTTTCTGGTGTTTCTGGGTAGGGGGTGCTGGTACTCCTGCTGCAGCCTCTGGTGCTGTCGAGGGCTCCTGGTGAAATCCAGTTTGTGTAGTCTCCACTTCCCCTAGCAGCGAGATAATTTTACTTTGCTAGAACCTCATCCTAACGTGACTCTAGCAAATGAATTGTCAGGTAACTGAGCCAATTAATGCTATGCAAATGAGTTGGCAGGTAACTAAAACTGTTAGATCAGTCACTTCCAGGCTGAGCTGCTGGGTCCCGAGGAGGGCGCCTGCAGCTGTTTCTGTAGGTGGCCAAATTTTGGGGCAAACCAGTTTTTGCAATGCATGCATGTCCTGGATATGTCCCCTGAGAACTAAACCTCCAAACCCATGGCTCTGCAGGTGCTGCTGGGGTGCAGCCCCAGGAGATTTTGCAAGAGCGGAGGAGTGACACTAATCCCTTGTTTGAATCTGATGCCCTGAAGTTTGGTGCATATTTTGTCAGTGCCCAAGCTTTTGGGAGAAGCCCGGGGCCCATCTCATCACTTCAAAATCCCATTTGGTGCCTATTTGACCACTCACAGGTTTTATTTCATATTTTGCTGGCCTTCTCTGATAGCCGTAGCCACGTTGTTTCCCCAGTCACTGATTAATGGCAAAGGGAATTCCTTCCTATCCTCCTGGGTAATTTAAATATTTTGTCAGAATTTATCCCTGAGCCACTCAACTGGCAAAATCCTCCTGATTCAACATCAAGATGAAGCATTGGGCTTCAGCTGAGCTTCTTGCGGTGACTTTCTCACTTCCTTTGCACCCTTTTATGTAATAATTTTGTTTTGATGTGATCCAGGAGCTTTCAATAAGCGTTTGTGTCAGTGCTTCAGAACGAATCTCCATCCTCCCACCTCGAATCACTGTTCGGCGAGACACTGAAATGTGTTTTTCCCAATTCAGGACACAAATGAATAGCAGCCTCAGGTTGCCACCTGCTCTGGTTTTATCTTGGTTCTGTAAGTAGCAAAGTGTGCTGACAGCCGGATTCCTATACCTCTCTCCCTTGGAGTTAATTAAATGGTTTATCTCTGCCATGAATTGATTTTCAGGGTGACGCTAAAATGTTTCAGCCCCCCCAAAAAAAGTACACTTCTGTGCTTCAAAAGTTAAAGTTCAGTGGAGCAGAAGGGAGCAGGGACTTGGCAGGGAAGCTGTGGAGCAATGAGGTTTCATTAGATGAAGTTCAGAAGCAGCAGTGTGTTCAGGCAGGGAGCGGATTGGAAACGAGCATTTCACAACAGAGATGTCAGCAGGGCCAAGCGTTCCCATTTGCAAGTGTCTGTTCTGGTCGAACGTTGCTGCGATGCCACTTAAATGCAGCCCCAGCTATAAGGAGGAGTGAAATGTAATTCCCTCCTAAAAGGAATCAAAATATTAATTTGAGTATCGGATTCTCTAACAGCTTCAAGCAAAACACATTCAAGGCTTAACAATGACTTTGCTGTTTCGATTACTGCTTCTGGAAATTGCATCTCCTATCGATGTAGCTATTACAGTTACTCCTGATGATGCTGTAAATACATGTGGACGTACAGAAAACTGAGCCTGATCTGGTTATTATTGCTGCCTGGGAGCTAAGACTGGCAGACGTTGGAGAATGTAACAGGATTATTTTTTAATACACATTTTCCATAAAATGGTTA